GTCCTTTAATAGGTAGACCTTAGTAAGTATATTACATACCTTTTTAGTAGTCTCCTTATTAGTAGCAGCTACTATATTATTATTAATATATATTAAGGTGTAGGTATTAAGCTTTTTATTAATAAAGAGGTAAATCTCCCCCTTAACTAGGTAGAAGCTAATTTTCTTTATCTTACCCTTAATAAGTATAAACTACTATAGTAGTGCCTTATAAAGACTATAAAAAGCCTTATAAAGTAACTACACTTTATTATTATTAGTAGTATAGCTAGTAGGTTAATAGATATAGACATAAGTGCTATTAAGGATAAAGGTAGTAAGAAAAGTAGTATTAAAGTTATATATTTTATATACTAATTTATATAAGGTAATAATAGTAAAAAACAGGCGTATAGTAGTAGTAGTAGCTATAGTAGTATACACCTCTTATAAAGACTATTTACCTTACTTATAGTTACTATAAACTACCTATTAGGCCTTATATTTAATAATCTTATTTTTTATATTTATTTTAATATTAAAAACCTACGTACTAAAAAGAATTTTTATATTAGAAGGAGGATTAATAAGGGTATAAACCTCCTTATTAGTAAATTATTAGATCTTAGTATTATAAGCCTGCTTCTAGTAGTACTAGTATAGGCCTTTCTTAGCCTTCTTAATAGTAAATAGAATATTATATCTAGGGGGTAGCATATATAATAAGGTAGCAGTAGCTAGCGTACTAATAAAGTAATAATAAGTATTATTATAAACCTAAATATTTATTATAAGATAAGCCTTCTTGTTATACTTTTAGATACTAGTAGTATTATAGTAGTAGCTAGGTGGCTTTATAGTACTAGTATAGCGTAGTTAGCCCCCCTTAGAAACTAAGGTAGTAGTAACCTTAGTAATAAGATCTAGCTAATCTTCCTCTATAATAGGGGCTAGAAAGTTAGCCTCTTATTACTTTATATTATAAAACTTATCTTTAGTAGTATCTAGATTATTAGTCTGTTAAGTAAGGTGTGTAGTAAAGATAGGCTGCTGTTAATAATCCTCTAAAAGAGGAGTTATATAGTAGCTATTATTAATATACTTACTATCTAACTTACTACTATTAGATTAGTTAACTTACTAGTTATAAGACTTTTTAGTAATAAGTTAATATAAGTTAGAGATATAGGCTAGATAATAAGTTATAAGATTAGGCTTATTAAATAGTATATTATAGTTAGTATTTACTAGGATAGTAACTTTATTAATAAGGTAAAGAACTATCTTTTTAGGCCTTTTATAAAAATAAATATTATAATAGTAAATAACTTATTTCTTACTTAGGATATAAATATAGTAGATATAGCTATATAAAGAGCTATATTTAATAAGGTAACCCTTTATTATATAAGGCTTTATTTTTATAAAGCGTAGGGGGCGCTTACTACCTTTTTTATATATATACGCTATATAACTAAAAGTGTAGAGGTATTTAATATAAGGGGGCTTATAATTAGTAATAAGGTTAATCTTATAGGTAATAATCTCTTAAGGGCTTATCTTACCTTTAGTAAATTAAGGTAAAAGGTTAAAGATCTATACTATAGTGTTAAGGGTATAATCCTAAAGCTCCTCTAGTAGACTATTATTAATAAGTAATATATAGGTAGCCTCTATAAGCGTATAACTAGCTTATTTAATTAATCTATTTATTAATAAGGTATATATAATTATAAGATTAAGCCTTATGCCTATAAAGTAGGGATTATAAAGCACCTTTTTTAGCTTAAGCGTGTTATTAGAAACCTAGCTTTTAATTATAAGGCTAGTTATATTAGTAAAAGTAGTATTAAAGCTTTTAATAGTATTAAGTATAACTATATAGTAATAAGCTTATAAGAGTTAAAGCTAATAGTAGCTACTATAATAGTTAAGAAAATAAAAGGTATATCTTATACTAGTCTTTAATAGTAGTTTAACCTTAATAAGGTTAAGATAGATCTTTTTACTTATAAGAGTAAGAGGTAATAAGGTGTTATAGCTAATAAGCTTAGTAGATTTAGCTAAGTAGTAGGCCTTATAGTAAAAGGCGTTAATCTTAGCCTAAGTAAATTATATACCTACTTAACAGCAGGCCTTAATAACCTATAATAGATAAGCGTAAATAAGTTAATAGTGTATTATTTTAAAAGTTAGCTAGCACTTACCTCTAACTATAAATAAAGTAAAGGTAGTTACTACTAGTATAGTTAGCCTATCTATAACATAAAGTATATAGATATTAAAAATCTATTTAATAGCAGCTAATTAGGCCTTAGATTTAGTATTAATAATACTAGTAGTTATATAGTTATACTTAATACCTACCTTATAGAGCTTACTAGGGCTAAGAAGATTAGCTAGGCTATAAAGGCTATACTTAATATCTTTAATAGTCTAGTTAATTATTTAAGATAGATTAGCTAAATCTTAAGTTTAAAAAAAGATAGTACTAAATCCCTTTAGATATACTTACTTCCTATTTGCTATAGTAAAAAAAAAAAGTTATTATAAATAGTATATAATATAAAAAGTTAAAGTAAATTAAAGATAAGGCTAAAGTAGCTTAAATTTAGTATAATATTAAATAAGGTAATAACTTTATAACTTATAGTAGTAAAAATAGCCTTACTTAGTTATATTATAAGGCTAGTAATTAAGGAGCTACCTAGTAAGCCTAAAGCACCTTTTATAAAAACTAATATAGAGGAGTTAGGTATAGTAGAGGTAGTAGCCTTCTTATAATCCTTATTATAAATATACTTAGCTATATAGGTAAGAAGATTATTATAAAACGTATAGTTAGTAGGAATAAGCTCTAGATAGGTAGTCTAGCACTTTAAGGTAATATAACCCTTTTTATAATAAGGGTAAGTATTATAGCCTAACTTCTTAGTAGGAGTAGCGCCTTAGCTACTAGTACTAGAGGTAGTAGTAGCTATAACTTTATAGTAAGTAATAAGGCCTATCTTTTGCTTCTTATTTTAGGTAAAGGTGTATATAGTCTTAATAACTATAGCCTACTTAGGCTTCTTATTATTATTAGTATAGTGCTTATATATATTAGGTAGATATATCTTAAAGTAATTAAGTAAGAGGATAGCCTAATAGTAATTAGAGTTTTTACTATAAAGGCTAGTAATACAGGCGTATAGATACTATACGCGTTTAAGGGCATTATAAAAAGTCTTATAATCTTAGGCACTGCCCTTAGAGAATTTGTTAATAAGGGCTCTAACTACGTCTTTAGATACCTTAGGAATATATTTCTTAAGTGCCTTTATTAAGGTGTAGGGATTACTATTATCTTACTATCCTATATTAAGAAGCTTATTAATTAGTATATTATATAATAAAATAAGAAGGTTATATATAACGTTATAGTTAGCTTCTTATAATATAAAGGCTATAATATCTTTAGCTAGTTAAGGAATATTATAGTTAATATACTTTTTAACTTTATTAGCATAAAGGGTAGCACTAATAAGAATAATCTATAAGGACTAGTTTAACTCCCCCTTAAGCTTAGGGATTATTAATAAGACTGTTTAGTAATTACTACTATTAGCTATAATAATAATGTTATAGGTAACTTACTTTAGACTACAGTTAGCCTAACTACATGTTAATCTTTATATGTTTCTTCTACTGCTGTAAAAGGCGTATCTAAAACGTTACGTAATTTACTGCTGTTTAACAGACGCCTAAAGTAATAGATTAGGGTAGTGGTGACTATTAGAGAAGACGGCTAGTAGGTTGTAATAGGTAGGGGTATCCCTGCTGCAATTAGCAAAGGATCCTTATAAGCCGCAGAGAAAGCAGTAGATTTAAAGTAAAGTCAAGCGACTACTGTAGCGATTGGCAGATAATTGTGAATTAACGAAGATGGGTAGAGGCGACTGATTAATTAAAAGAAATTTGATATAGGCCTGGGCTCTATAACCTGTGGGAGCGCAAGAGCAACGAAGTGAGGCAATTCGTGGTATTGCTGATCTGAAGTGTGGTGTATGTGTCTGGTGGAGGAAATCCTCCTCCCTAGTCTATGGGCAGAGGCTGGCAATGAGGTGAGGGGCCCGGGAGGTCACGTGACCTCTCAGCACATGGGCCCCCTCACAACAAACAATGTGGCTCGGCAATAAGTGGAATATGGCGCAGCAGATAGATTACGTTTATGTATTTGTGTTTATAACACATCGCGATAATATTATTTATGCACATGTAGATTAAAATCCTATCACTGCGTAAGATCATTTGAATGCGATGATACATGGACAGTATCGAGCCAATTCGATCCTCTCTTCAGTCTCTTGTATATCCATTCTGGTCAGACATTCTTTTCCTTTGGACGTCATCGCCAACTTGCCGGTTCCGGCCAGAAAACTTCCATTTGGATACACATGAAATTGTTTCACGTACCCGATGATACATGGACACCGTGTTGTAAGACTGCTTTGTTCAGTCTGGTGTGAGCAACAAGGTACTATCATCTTGGCACCATTGCCCATGGAAACAAAGTCAGCGACTGGCGTTGCTTCGAGATTTGAGCCTCTCAATTTCTATAGTATTTCTAGAGAAGTATGAGCCAAGGGTGGATGCTATGAATGACATGATTTTGAGGTAACTATAAAGCGTGGAGAGGGATACGGCTAGTTAAATGTACGAGAAACCCTGTCGAAAGATGTTGTATCAACGTTTTGTAGTGTAGACCTACGATATAACGAATAACTAAGAACCCCCCCCCCCTTCTCCGCTAAGAAAAAGAAAAAGGATTATCTGATATTGATTGCGGCCTGTGGATCGAGAGGCAAGAATCTGAGGTCATTTAGTGTTATACCATACACTCGATGCTGGCAACAAATAGGAAGAAAATGAGGTCTTTGGAAATTCCAGCCCAGAACAATACCCACACCTTGAAATGCCAATGATGTCACCTGTCGTCTACTTCCGAGTAGTCAGTGGAACAGAAGCGCCTGTGTGTAAGCCTATCTAGATATCCGGAATTTTTAGTTTGGATAAACCGAAATGCAAACGGCTGGATAGACACGACCGTTGAGCCCGCGCCCACATCCAAAGACGGTGCCGGTCCAGACTCTCCGGGGGCGGGGCCCATTGGGCATCGGAGACCCTACAACGCTTGTTGCTGACTCGCCATCCGTGATCTTCCTCCAAGATCTCTTCGCCACAGGGGCGGAGCGAGGTGCCATAGGCGGGTTGTTCCTTGCCAGTACCAAACATGATTATACTGCCACTTGCAGTCTGAGACATGAGGCGAATCCCGCTCATGTGTGACTTGAATAACTGCTTAGAAGCGGTCAAAATCGTTGTCAGTAAAGTTGGCCTGACAAGCAATCTACTCGCGTGCGAGTTGATGCGCCACATTGTTGACGTATACTATGTAGGTTTACGAGCGCGCAGAATGAGGCTGGAACGGTGTCCGCCGGAAAGCAGCTAATGAGTCCAAGGTTGAGATGATACTCCCAAAGTTCGCCTGTGTGAACGAAAGCAGAGGAGACAACCTTTTTGAGAGCTGAGGTTTACCTTTCATCGGAAATTAGATTATTGCCCCATACCCTTTGGGTAAAGTTGGCGTTGTGGAAACCTTGTGTTCACCAGCGAGCCACCCTCGACAGGTTTCTTGCCTGTGGCGGGGCAGTGGCGGGTTACAACTCACTACCTTGTGACAATCAAGCCTATCGGCGGCCTTCAATGATATGCCAACAGTAATCAAGACACCCGTGTCCAATCTCACCTAATATGGGATTCTATTGCATTCTGTTATAGCGAGGTGATGTGATTATAATTAGTGATTTTTGGACGTGCATCCGTATTCACATTCATATCATACCTCAGGGGAAGTTACGAAATAGTAGCGTGTCGACAATACTGCTGTCAATAAGCTTAGACTCCTGTTATCACGAGTCAATACTGGATGCATCATTTAATTGTGTGAAACAGAAGCATGGAAGACACTGTAAATACTCTCTCTTGAATCTTGTCAGCCAACCACGTCAGTCTGAAGGTTCAAGCTTGACTTTCCATAAAGGCGATGGCACTGTACAGTCCATTCGTTCAGCAACAGACCATCAAATTTTCGGAAATCTCTTTTACACTATCATATATCTTGTGTTTCGCAGTATGCAAATATCCTGAGAAGTTTGTTGATCCATTCTAGCTTTAGTAGAAAAGCCTCGTGGCTCTAATTTACCAAGCTACAAAGTACAAAGGTAGTTCGCATAGCTGTGAGATAAGGTTTAGTGTACGAGAGCCTCGGGTGGGAACTACAGGGGTCACCATTGCCAGTCGTTCGAATCTCTTCCCCATGGCAGTTTGACCATGGTTTGTGACTATACCAGCATTTCCTTGCGGTTTGCCTGTCCATATGTCCATAAGGCATTATGGCCTGTGTTGGCCGTGATTTGTCATTATTAAGGGTCTTTCACCCTCAAAACCCGGACTTTTCGCCACCAAGGTGCAGTACCTATCTTTACATATACACCGAACCCTCCACATTCCCTGAAGCCGCCAACAGTTCCATGTCAGCCCTCTCCCGCGTAAGCGTCCATGTTGCTGAACCGTGACACATGGCAATAGAGGACAAGCCCCGTTGACGTCCCTTGATGTGATGGGTAGTTGTATTGTAAGCACGGACGGGGTGGAGCGGTTCCTAAAGATAATCATTGTGAACAAGTCGGTGGTTCCAAATATCGATGGTCAAGAGGACTTTCTCCACACTGAGCCCACGGGATGTGAGCGCGTGCTGCCGAAGCACCCGTCTCGTTTCCATCTCCAAAGCGCGCTTAATGATCATGAAAACGTGGACACTTACAGTCTGAAACATACTTGCCAGTCAAGGCAATCCAGCGGGTGGGATTGTGACATCTGAGCTTTCGTTGTACTCTGGATATAATAGACTACTGGGCTCCCTCGGTATTCCAAGACGCATCCAGCCTTGACAAACCACACTTTTTCACCGTGGGCCAGGAAAGCCCTCTTCAGTCAATTGCCATTCCAAATTTACATGAAATGCCTCTCATACGCTCTAGAGTGGGTCTCATGTATCACATGTTATTAATCTGCTCATGTGAGAGTGATACGGCAAATCTAGCGGCGACAAAAATGCAATCATTGTCTTTTTATCAATCTGACGATAGATGGGGTTAAGTATGTATCTGGTACGAAAACAGCTTTATGTATGCATCGACAGGCACCAGGTAATATCGTACGGAGCAGAAATATGTTGCTAGGAATTGAAAGTATGTACAGGTCAAACGTGAAACTCACATTCCGACGAATCAATAAACCACCGGCCAGTCCGATTCGTAACGAATGAGGTTGATGCCCATTTGCGCCGTGCCGGCGTTGTTGTAGTAGTGGTAGACGAGCACATCGGCGTCGGTGTCGGTAAAGACGGCCGGGTGGCCGGGCCCGTGGATCGAGCCGTGGCTCGCCATGATCTGGGTGCCGCCGCCGGACATCATCTGCCTCCCGCTGCGGTCGACGTAGGGGCCGGTGACGCTGGTGGACCGACCGACCATGATGCGGTACGTGCTGGCGGCGCCGTTGCAGCACTTGTCGAAAGCGACGTAGAGGTAGTAGAAGTTGCCGCGGCGCGTGATGAAGGGTGCTTCGACGGCGCCGCCGGCCTCGGTGCGCCTGGCGAGGGACAAGAGGTTGGTGCCGGAGCGCTTGCCGGTGCTCGGGTTCAGCGAGATCATCTTGATGCCGGTGCCGAAGGAGCCGAGCGACAACCACCAGTTGCCCTGGGCGTCGACGATGAGGTTGGGGTCGATGGCGTTGTAGTCGTTGGAGGGCGTCGTCTCGATCACGACGCCCTGGTTGGTCCACGAGCCGGACGCGCCCGTGCTGCTTGTGGCCAGGAAGATGGCCGACTTGCGGGATCCAAAGGTCGAGGCCGAGTAGTACATGTAGTACCGGCCGTTGCGGTAGGAGATGTCCGGGGCCCAGAGGTTGGTGTCGCCGCCCGTGTAAGGCGTGGTCCAGGGCGCGCCGCCCGGGAAGGCAACGCCGGCATCACGCCACGCTGTGCGGTCGGTAGACGTCTTGAGCCCGATGTTTGGTGCCGTGAAGGCCATGAGGTATGTGCCGCCCGGGGTTTTGACGACCGTCGGGTCGTGGGTGAATGTGTCGCCCGTGACCCTGCCCGGGTCGGGGTATTGGCCGTTGACGCCGGGCGCCATGGCCATGACGGCAAGGGCGGCTCCGATGAGTTGCTTCCACATGGCTAGTAATATCCCGATTTTAAGGTTAACTGCGTAGCCGCTTGTCGATCTTTGGACTAGATGATGAGGTGCTGCTGGGACGGCTGGTTAAAGACGCTGTGGCGCCATCCCGTCTCTTATAGAACTGTGCGGCACTTGCATCGAAATAACCCCTTTGTGTTCAGGTAGCACCGGAATCATAACGACCCATAGTGGCCAACATCGTATTTCGAAGCGCGCGACGGAATAATCGCCAACAGACCGTGGGGCTATGTCCGGTTTGGCGACTAGGGAGACTCGGTTATCAAATACGACCGCGGAAGGGGACGACCCTCCCTGTCACACTATTCTTTTTGTTGCCCCTTAATAAAGACATCATTCGAACAGAATACTGAGCGAAAGGGGGGGTCTGAGGGCTAGTCTAGGCGCCTACGTTCCCATCCATGACAGTATGAATACAGAACAGCAGCTGTAGGCGTTAACAGGGTTCAGTGCGAATGGTGCTCGTGACTGTCTTGGGATTTATTAGAGCAGAGTAACATGATGCTCAAAGATACGACGCGAACCCCGGTCCGTCGGTCAACTGTATTTCGTCCTTCAGGAAGGTCTTTGTGACATCCCGGATCCGTCGTCAATGTGGGGAAGCATTGCCGATGCACTGCTGCGCCGTGAGGAGGGCAGGGAGACGATTTGGGATATATTAATTGGTGTCCAGAATGGCGTACCAAGAAGCATCGCGGAGTGGTTGCCCGCATCCGCTCCAATGGCGGATGAGTGATAGATTAAATGTTAACTAAGCGGCCCAATAAACCCAACTTCTGCCTTACCGGATGCGGATATCAAATCGCCTTTACGACGTGAAGAAGGAAAACCGCCTATTACCCTCTTTATTTCCACCGTCTTGAGCATCCTTCGCCATTTGGAACTCTCCTGGGATGTTACGCAGACCATCCCGAATGGTTCAGTCGGTACGGTCATTGAAATGGCAATCACCCCTCTTGAGGTGCATCAGAGGTAAGTCAGAGAGGGCGGCCAGAGTATATCGCACCAATTGGTGAAGCTCGTCCGGGAGTATCACCGCGTGGACTGTGCCATTGTGGACGTCATCTAGTTCGTCCGATTCAGACTCGAGACAGCAAGATAGGGGGTCATGGTGCCAAGAAGCTACGGTGTACTGCACATGGCCTGAAGCCAAGATTAGGTCCGGAACCTGACCGACACGAGGTGAGAATGTCCGTGGGTCGAATCACCAAGCGCTGAGATGTCAAAGATGGCACTACCTACGATCGTAGGGCTGCAAGTATGGTCGTGCACAGACAAACATCAAAGCGGCCCATGAGTGGCGCAACGCTCATCTTGTAATAGAACTTTTAGCATCATGATGTCTATTTATCATTCATCATAAGCCGGTTACCCGTGATACAGGACCAATGTTCCAGGTTCATGTCACCGGCATCCGCAATAGGTATCAGACGCTGCACCAAAACATGACAGGGGCCACGCTTTATGGCCGCACGCCTTAGACGCGGGGTTTAGCAAAGTCTGTCTAAAACACAAGCACAACAGCCCGTGCTGTCTCTACTTACCGCCTCATTACTTCACTGTTCCACATCACTCCCCGCCAGGTTTCCGGTCGATGACCGGGCGTAGCAACTTGTAGAACCCGAGCCACAATGCCACCGAGACGAGGGGGAAGACGCCGGAAAAGTACAGCGAGAAGCTATACCCCCTGTCCTCGGCCATCCACCCGCCCAGCGACGACGAAATGGCGGCGCCCGTCTGGCGCGTGACGCCCCCGACGATGCCAAAAGTCACGTTGACCCTCCCGGTCCCGGCCATCATGACGGCGACCAGGCCGGGGATGGCCACGCTCTGGATCCCCGCGCCGACGCCGTCGAGGATCTGGACGGGCCAGATGCCCCAGTTTTCGATGTAGCGGCCCGCGACGGCGGCGCGGACGGGCAAGACAACGTACGATACCAACACGGTGAACCAGTACCCGTAACGGCCGGCGAGCCAGGGCGTCACGAGCGACACGGCGATCATGGTGCCCTGCGCGATGATGACGGTCAGGCCGGTCGTGCCGGCCGGGTCGCCCTTGCCCATCGCCACGAGCCCCTGGCCGTAGAGGAAGAGGATTGCCGCGTTGCCGAGGTGGAAGAGAAAAACGGTGGCGCCGACTATCATGAGAGACTTGTTCTTCAAGACGAGCCCGACCGGGCTGACGGAGAACCTCTGCTTCTTGTCCTTCAGTTTGGCGATTAGAGTCTTGCGCTGGGAGACGACACCGCCTCGTTCCGCTTGGTCTTCGTCTTCCGTCCCCGACCTGCTGCTGTCTTTCGTGTCCGGTGTTTGGACGGAGGATACAGGCGCATCGTCGACGGTGACGACTCCTCCTCTCGCGGCCGCGTGGTCGATGGCCCGCGCCGGCAGCAGGAGGACGGTGACTATCGTCGCTGCGCAGAAGGCCATGACGAGCCAGAAGACGGCCGTCAGCCCGAAGCGCGAGCCCAGCGCGGCCGCCAGGCCCGCGCTGACCATGTTGCCGGCATGATTGGCCGCCTGGTTGCGCCCGTTGAGGGTGCGGAAGGTGTGCTTGCCCTTGCCGTCGAGGCTGCCGACCGGGTCGGGAGAACAGATGCCCAGTGTTAGGGCGACGAGCAGGGGCATCAGCGTCGTGCCGGCGACGGCGGATACGATCTGCGTGGAGAAGATGAGAGCCGGGTGGGTGGAGAGAAGATTGACCCCCTGGGAGACGCCGACGAGGAGGGCACAGATTGCGGCGAGCGAGCGCTTGTAGCTAGGGAGGAAGTCAAAGAATCAGCCCCCCCCCCCCCCTTGGTGAACACGGAACGGATCAAGAATAAGGAGGCTCTTAACACTTACTCTGTCGCGTCGATGAGGGCGCCCACCGGTCCGGTTGCAAGGATGGTGGCTATGCCACTCACTGTGTTGACGAAGCCACGCAGCCCGGGGGCCCATCCATGGTGCTGGAGATAGACGCCAAGGAAAGGCCCAACCCCGTCCTGGACGTCTCCCATGAAGAAGGCCAGGAGGAGGAGGGCCCAACGGGCGCGCCTCATGAGCTTGGCATCTCTGGCGTCCTCGGGGCCCAAGCCCGCCTCGGCAAGTTCCTCGTCGAGACGGACGTTGGAGGTGGTGGGCGGCGCCGACGCCGACACGTTGAGCGGGACGTCCCGCTTGTCGTCGTTGAAGTCGGGGTTCAGCTCAATGGGACGCAATGACTCGAAGCTGACGGCGTTGCGCGGGTTGATCTCGCAGCTCTTGGCGTCCATTGTTTTTCTTTCTCGTCGTGGGAGGAAAACAGTCATCAAGAACAGTCATCCGGGAGGGCGAGAGGCTGAGCGGCAGGGTGGTCATTCCTTATAAGAGGCACGGCCCCATGCCTCAGTATGAGGGAAGAGACGGCAGAGGCGGGAGGGCGATCGCGGGGGGGGACACGGACAGAGAGATCTCTACGTCAATGAAGGTGTCGCCCCAACAGCCATGGCAAACTATGCTTAACTTAGCCCTCCCGTGGGGAAAGCTTCTGCTTGGCTAAGCCCAGCTCGGAGACGTCCAGACATGGTTTACGTGGTGTTGTGGACAAGGTTGGCAGGTGTGACGCGGATCTTGAAACGGGCACATACACAAAACAACCGTCCGAACGAAGAGACGACGACAAGCAGGCGCCGCAGTTGAAAGTATGGATATACGGATCGAAGCGGCTTGGCGTGGATGCTGAAGTGAAGGGCGCACATGACGACGGCACGCTGGCTGAAGTGGATGCAGACGAAAGTGTCGGGATAGAATGCAGCGACGTACGCTTGTTGCTATCCAACAAGGGTCCCGTCTCGATGGCCCGTAAGAAGAAGAGGTTATATTTTTTGGTTTGGACCCCTAACCTAACACTGACAGTTCTTGTCAGCCTGGCCTGCCAGGAAGGAAACCATCGCGGGGTGGCAGACTGCAGTGAAGAGAAACTTACCGCACGGTCGACGAAAACTTAAACCGGCATCATCTTGGCGCCACGGATCTGTTATCTGCGAAACCGAGACGGTGACAAGCAGTGAGCACCTAAGGCTGTCGCTTGCTTCGACTTTTGCGTTGCGTCTCAGGCCGTCAAAATTATAATTCCGGGATATAGTAATTGGATGGCGATGAGGAGCCTGGTTAATGAACGATTTCACCTCAAATAAAGCATCAGACTCTTCAATGGAGACGATGTTTGTGTAGAGGTACCGGTGGGAAAGATAAGTCACAAGATCGTGGGCAGTAGTTGGTAACATGACTGCTGTTATTGAGACGCTGTTCCTAGTGAATGAGTTGCCAGGTGAGGCTCATGGGAAGGGGAAGGGTCAGGTGGTAGAGTATCACGTGTCAGGAAGTTACGTGAGGTCAATACCAGTCCACCCACGGCGCTGTGTATATCTGGCATTCTACCAGATCCAAACGTATAATATTATCCAACTACGAGGCAGTCTGCAGTAGGTACATACATTCCTTGGACCGTATCATTGGGCGATGTGTCGTTCCTCCATAGCTGCCTCAAGAGGCCCAAGTAGTTCCCCTTTGCCGAGCCGAACAGCCATGTCAAGCAGACCCTCGCCGTTTGGGCCTGGCTGTCTTGGATCGGCCCCGTTCTCCAGGAGGAGGGATAAGAGCTCCAAGGAACACGCCGAGTTGTCGCGGTCGATGACTGTGGACAGCGGCGTCCAACCTTGGTCATCTACTGCATTGGGGTCGGCACCGTGTTGCATGAGAAGCAGAGTCAGCTTCTCGTCGCGGTTTTGGACGGCTTCTAGCAGCGGGGTTCGACCAGTGTCGTCGCGAGCGTTGATGTAGAGGCCATGTTCAAATGCCCATTGAACGAAAACAAGAAACTCATCAGAACCATCATCTCGTCCGCGTGAACACACCACATGAAGGAAGGTTTGACCCTTGTTATTGCTATGCGCGACATTTATGCCTGCCTCGATCATCAACTTTGCGTTGAGTGGAGATGAGCTAGACCGGGTGCGCATTTCGAAAAGAGGCGTTTGGCCGCTGTAATCGGTAATTGTGAGATCGGGTTTCTTGTCCAGAAGCCTTTTGACACTGTCGCCGTACCAGTTGTTAATGACTTCAAAAACAAGTGTCTGCCCACGGTTGTCTCTGTGGTTGATGTCGGCGCCATGGGAGAGCAAAAGATCAAAGCAATACATTTTTTGTTCCCGCGCAGTGTAGAACAGCGGAGTTTGGCCGTTTGTGTCGGTCGCTTGGACGTCGGCGCCTGCTTCAATCAAGAAACTGGCAGTCTCCAGGTCGTCCTTGGAGCAGGCAAGATGAAGAAGCGTTCTTCTTCTCTTGTCACGTATGTGAAAGTTTGCGCCTGCTTCCAGCAGCAACTTTACAGCTGCCAAGTTTCCTCTTTCGCAGGCCCCCTGAAGAGGAGTGCAGCCGAATCTATCGGCGGATTCTAGTTTGGCGCCGTTCTCCAACAGGAACTGTACAACGGCCCATTTGCTGTTCTTGTAAGCAATTTCCAAGGGTGTATCTCCCCAGCGCGCCCTGGTCTGTATGTCCGCGCCTGATTTGAGCAGAAGTCTTGCAATCTCTATGTTTCCCGTCCCCGCAGCGATGGTGAGGGCCAACGATGCGTCTTCTTCACACCTCTTGCTTGCAAGTATCCGAGTCTGGCTGTCATCTCTGGGCGATGGCACAGTGTCTTCATCGAGCCCTAGAAGCCTACTCTCTCCCCCATGTTTCTCATCCGACGATGCCAACCTTGATGGACCCGGGACACGCGAGAGACTTGATCTGGATTTACTGCGCTCATGCAGATAGCACCTTACAAATGCTAAATTGTCATTCTCCATAGCACAAACAAGAGGACTGAAACTGACAAGTCCAGTGTGGCAGATACAACTCGCGCCTAGTTCAAGAAGTCTTTTTGCGATACTGATGTCTCTGCTCCGTGCGGCAAAATAGAGCGCCGTTCGACCTCCTGGGATCGCGTAGTTGAGACTTGGACTGATCGTGTAAACTCCATGTCTGTATTCCAAGTCACTGTTCGCACCAGACTTGCCTTGCTGTGCCTTCTTGGCAATGCAATTCAATAGTATATGAGCAGCGTCGACGTGGTCCGCGATGATGGCCGCAAGGAGTGGGTATCCATATCGTCCACCAACTGTATCGACGTCGAGGTTAAGTCCAAGACTCGTTTCAACTAGCATGCTCAGTCCCTTTGCAGCGGTAATGTATAAAATGCTTGTAGAGGCAGGCAAGTGTCGGCGAACCATGACTCTTTCAAACAAGTTGTTCATTTGTATCCAGGGGTCCACCATGAAACCCTTGAGGAATTTCTCTTGTGAAATCCCATGGATTGCGGCGGCTTCGGCATGATGAAGAGCCTGGTTCGTTGCGTACTCCAGAAACGGAAACCGCTCGGCCACCTGATCCCTCCAGCTTTGGGCATTCTTTTCGGAAGTCTTCAAGAGAAACTTGTCTTCCGGTAGGTAGGCCGAGATGTTAACCTGGGTTGAGTATGTGTGGCAACATTGCTTTAGCCTCTCGTGGCTTAGGCCTTCAAAGTTGTCTGCCATGTCTGGCCAAAGCGTACGCAGGCCGTTATCCTTGAGAAGGAAGTCCCGTACCGATTCATGAATGAACTGAACCGTCTTGTCATCCGACCTTGTTGCCTCAGCGAGCCCCTTGGATGAACTGACAATCAAGCGGTCCATAAACTCGTGAGTGATGTCCTCAGGATCCCATTCTGCAAACGTATCAGGCTCTAGACATGACGCTAGAGCGAAGTAGTACTCTTCCCTCTTGAGTGGCCTTTGGCTGTAGAGCAGCAACTGAATGCAGAGGACCAAATCCCCCATATCCTCTTGGTCTCTCGTAAGGATATCCTGGAACAGCTTGCTCAGCTCGGAGGGTATATCATTCAGTCGTTTTTCTACCGCGAACAGCCGACCTTTCCGGTACTCCTTGTTTAGGATGTCGACGACGAGAACAACCCACATGAAAACGCCTGAAGCTTTCCGCAGTATCTCGGCAATCACCTGCTCACTCTTTCGTCCAGAGCCGGCCCGGAGTTCGCTGCGTACGTAATCCTCCAAGTCTTTCCCGTGCCCAATCTGATCTTCCAGGACGAGCTTTTGACCATAGAAGATATCGATGTACGGGTAATGGCGACTGGATAGACAGACGTAGAAGCGTATGTCGTGTTGCACCGCATACTGCCCAAGATCCTCAAAACATTTGACCATGTCCGAGACCTCATGGTCGTCACACTCGTCAAGAGCATCAATAAAGCAAGTCAACCGTCGTTGTCCTAGTCTCCGGACTGCACTGCGGAAGAGGTTTCTGAGTTGGTCGAGGCCCCATTCCTTGGCCTCTGACTGGCTCAAGTGTCTGAGATCCGGGTCGTCAAGCAACGTCTGCAGGTCAGGCATACTTTCCAGAAGCTGATGCAGCAGGGCCCGATACATGCCCAGAGTCGTTTTCTCGAGGCCTTCCCCTCTGGCGTTGAAGAAAAAGGAGATCAAGAACTTCTGTTCGCCCTTGCTTTCCTTTGCTCGGGTGAAGGCATAATTCATGACAGTCGATTTTCCGGTACCAGGCTTTCCCTTGATCCAAAGGAAGCCGTGGTGCTGAGAGTACTTCTGGCGGTCCATCCACGCTGCGTAGTCGGGATGTTCAACCAGCCACTTGCAAGTCTCTGCGTGGGCGGCTTTAATGTTCTCTTGCCGTTTTCCAATTTGGCTGAACTTGAGAGAATCCAGCAGTTTCTTCTTATGGTCTGCTGGTGGCGATGGATGATCTAGTTTGAGGGAATCTAGAAGTTTCTTGTTATGATCTGCTGGTGGCGATGATTGATCTAGTTGATAGTAAGCAAGTATTGATTAACCGGAAAGTTAGCCGGGCGTATTCACCATTGTGAGGCACCGGAGTTTGTCCCATGAGGTCGTCATGTGGTGTGACGAGATAGAGAAGCTCCTTTGCATAGGCTGCTGCCGTTGCGGCCGCGTATCTCTGCCACCGTTTCGCTTTGTGGCTGTCCGAGTAGTCACAGATGCCGCGGATGACTAGACAGGGAAAATTGTCCATCAACCCAGCCGCCTCCATCTCGAAGCAAATTACCCCTAGGTCTTTAGCAAGACGGTCTCTTGTCTGCGCATACTTCATGACTTGGTTCCCAGATGCAATGATCCCGTAATGAATCTTCGGTGTAGCTGCCGCTGGCCGCGGGTCACGTTCTACTATCATGGAGACGTCGCAGTCATCGCAGGTGTCTCCGCCAGTATGTTCGTAAAAGGCCTGGAACAAACGATCTTCATCCATGCTTTGATGCAGGTAATCGGTCATGTCGGGGTTACGCATCTTCATGTCGGCCAGGATTGCCGGAATCTGGTTCGGCCGTCTTTCGTGGTTGGCGCGCAGCTTGGAGACCGCCGCCAGCAGCGATTGTGGAGGTTTGTTTAGGGTGCCTGTATACTCGAACCGGCCGTCATGGACTGCTTTTCCAAAGTCGTATTGCACCACACCCGAGGAGGTTCCAGTCGGAGAACTGACCACAACGTCCCCAAGGCGTATGTCGACCTTGCCAGGGACTCCACCACCAATTCCGACCATCAACCTAATATATATCGAAGGGAAGCTCCAGCGCATGTTGTTTGCTACCACCGCCGCGCTGTTCGTACCGTACTGCCCCAACGGCAAGCATGCGATGACAATGTCGTGGGGGCCTATGCGACCGAACGTATACACGTTGCTGTCGCTGGGGTTCATCGCCAGAGGTTCGTGCGTCTCGTCTAACATGGCTGCTGCTGCGGCCATCTCGAGGGGCAGAGCGCATACCCAACCCACAGTGTAGGCTTTGTGTGAAAGCTTGAGCGCCAAGTAGTCGGGTTGATCAAGAGCTGTATCAGCCAACCTTGGCCATTTTGGAAGCGAGTTCGTGAATTCATCGTTGTCGCCGATTGCAGCATCGGTCAGTTGCTTGTCGAGATCTCTCCGCGCTCTCTGGGAGTGCGAAGTGAATCCGGCTCGATCGTGATGACGACCGTAGCCGGCCATTGTGACCAGGCTGTGACCAGGCTTTCACCGCAACCGGGTCAATCTTGTCTTGCCAATCAACTGTGAGTAGTAGAAATGTTCGTGTACGACGAGTTTGCCGCAGCCGCGCTCGAGACCATGAGCTCCGTCAGCTGCAATGTCAGAGAGGCAATGCGTGAGGTTGTTGAATCAAGCTTGGGCCGGGTAAAAAGTTGAGAGGGGGGGAAGTGGATGAAAGGATGGTGCTTATTGCGCTGACTTGGTGGAGTGCAGAATCAGGCTGCATAAACACAGCCTGGAATGGAGAATAGATTTACTTGCCACGAAGGCCTCCCATTTCCATTCTAAGCCCCTTTCGGGTAACCGACTGACCTATCATATAAATTTGGCTGCATGACCATCATATTACCAATCACGATCCCCTGTTGTGGTAGGTAGGTAAACACGTCGATGCTACTTCGCGCCTACAGTCGCAGCTAGGGTGGTGTATCCAAAGGCGCGTTCATTGTGCAGAACTTAAGCTCGAAGCTTTAACAAAAATTTTAATCAGTTTAAAGATTTTTTGAAATATATGTGGTCTTGATTCGGCTCATGGATATTGGCTGGTGAGATGATCACTCATATACAAGCAGGTGTGAGGTTTGATATGAATATCCTCCTTTTTGTATTATATAATAATAGAACATTTGTGATGACAAAAGCGGATCCGTAATTGCCACTGCGCAATTGCGGCTTATATCACGACAACATTCTTATACAATTCTTCGCGTCAATTCAACACCTCGACAGCCATATCAAACATCATAGGATGTAGTGATGAACGATGATAATAGCAAGACATCGACAGCTACGACGTTTGTGATGGACTACAATTAGGCTTGAAACATTTTATTCTTAACCTAGGGTCACCCTGAAAGTAACATAGTTCGACCAAGACGGAATACAAATGATCGCTTTGTCATGAATCTGGACTAGTGAAAGGAACTTACCGTGGATGTGTGAGGTGCCCTGTTCCACTGCGGCTGAAGTTGAATTGTCGATGATAGACTGGACATCTCAAACAGCCAGTAGACAAGAGAATACAACGTTGCTATGGAAATCTTGGGTTACAGGTTCGAGCTGGCTGCCTGCTGGGATGGTAGGGAGGAACATGCATATCAAGAACAAGTCAAGTCCTGGTAAGACCTCAATATTGCGAGAAACGAGAATATGCCATATATAAATTTCTCTAAACAGAATTTTCAGGAGTACTAGAGAATGACGTAACAGAGTAATATAGTAGACACACGCTTGCGCTAGTGTAGTCCAGAACGCACGTGGTGTCTTTCATTTACATCAAAACTAGGAATAGGCCAGCCCTAAATAAAAAAGCGATATTAGGCAAAATAGCGGGCAGTAGAAGTTAAATTGAGCTTATTATGTATATCGTACGTAGGTAGATTTCCACTTTTGCTATAAACCCTGTAGCATTTGCGTCCCAGGGAGTTCACAAGGGGAGGCGATGGCCAGAGTGGTAGAGAGGATGATGGGAGTGCAATGCACTTTGGATTGTTGGAGGTGATTGAGTTTTCCTTGGGTAAAATGATAAATAGAACATGGCCAAGGGTAATCAAATATCGGAAACATAGTGGGGGCATCTAGCTGAAATCGTTGAACCATAACAGAAACACGAGTCGACGAACTTTCGGCAATGGTTTGACATTCCTTGGACTTTTGAGCGTGGGTACCACAATCAGATATATCAGATTACGCATGGTGGTGTGTACTTTGTGATCCTGCTCGCGTAAGTTGAGTACACCGCCTGTACTCTATCCAAGCACAATATCGATCGTGGAAGCTTGGAGAGCATCCCATGTTTCCTTGCATACCCGGCCAAGACCCTCTCGATAGGCAATCCCGTCCCTCCAACTTATCCACATGACGTTGTAGAACTCATACCGCTGGCCTTGCTTCAGCCGCTCCTCTCTGGTGTACTCTGCGAAGTCACTATCGCCGTACTCGAGGTTGTTCGGGATGAACCCTTGGGATATGGCAATTAGCTGCACTTCGACAGGACTCTTCGTAGGATCCAACTTCCGGGTTTCCAAGTAGTCATGGCTGTGTAGTCGCAGTATCCCAGCCCATTCGTCCTGGGGTGTGTATAGCGACACATGAGGAACCTGTAGACTATTACCCTCAAGGTTGGGAATGCTATGCATCCACACTGCACCACGGACTGTCAGGCGTGCCAATTCCACAGAGCCGAATAGGTATATCTCTTCAGAGACGGCCGAGCTGCCTTTCTGATGTGAATAGGTTGGATCCGATAGCGGTACAGGGTACCAGAATCTTGCATCGCAAGATGTGTGATGGTACAAGTATTTGCCGAATCCGTCTGGGGGTGTCTCAATAGTCAACTCCTCGTCTTTCCGTCGTTTTCTTCGTGTCCACCCCGGAGGCAGCTGTTTTCCCGGGTCCCTGTATCGTTCTCTCCATGCCGCCCACTCAACTTCTATCGGTCTTTTGTCTATCTCTCCGGAGCTACCAGCGCTGGTGTACCACTTGGTGGTTGGAAACAATTGTTGTCTTGTTGAAGCAATCCAGCCACTGCACGCCGCCACGAAGTCATTCCCGGTTGCCCAGTCCGCGAAGTCAAGGCGGCCCTGCCATCCCACCCAGGACCACGTCGGGAGGTTACTGGTGCTGTTGACACCAAGGCCCATGCTCGTTTCAACTGGTTTGCGCCGCACTAGATCGCCTTTGGGCTGCCAGAGTAGAGCTGCGTCGAAGAACATCTCTGGCAGGCCGCATAAGAAGCCTCCCTTGAAAACTCTGGTGTAGCACGGGAGTATGCCGGCCATAGCAGAGAGACAGTCTTGCGGGTAGGTGAGCTGTCGATTATTGTAATCCTCCATCAGGCGCGAGTACACGGTCAGTGATGGGTACCCGACGTTGAGCAAAAAATCCCGTTTTCTGTCAGGAATGTCTGGGTGGCTGTGATCTTCATACATGGCGGATTGACAGCACTCGAACCAGGCGCTCTCGTTTTCGAAGCAGATGCGTCTGCGTGCAAATAGATATTCCTGAAAGGTCCAACCACGATCAAAGTAGTTCGATTTTCTGGAGCGGGCTTCACCATGCTGGTGCTGGCCTATACTGGTGCGCACGAGGAGACTCCTATCTCCAAACTGTATCTGGTCCTGCTCGAGGTGCCGCGCTTCCTCTCTTGGTGTTCCTTTCAATCCACGAATACTACTTTCAGCATTCGTTCCGTCGACGGGAATAATCACGGCTTGGGCGTGCGCAAAGATTGAAGCCATCTGGCGTAAGTGACTGCTGAGGAACTCTCTATCGTCCTGGACTACGCAGAGGCTATCTACCCAGAGATAGCGCGCCCCGAAAAGCGCTGTCAGATGCATGGTGTGCCTGATGATTCTTGGAAGAGAGATGTTTTCCAGGGCCCCCGGCCTCTTCAACTGCTGTAGGTTGGTGATGAATGTTCTGGGCATGTCGACCTTGCCCCAAACATAACTGAGAGCCATGTAGGACGGATCGTCAGGGGCGGTAATTAGACAGTTGTCTACTGCATCTATAAGGATCTTCAGTCTAGGTTTTGGGAGGTGCTCAAAGTATCTAGGACTGTTACACAGCTCTCCGTGTTCGGATATGCACGTGTTGTACCATCGAGTCAGAGTTTCATTATCGATCCAAGACGGGTCGAGTTTGACCCCATGTTCAGCCAAGTGATTGTTGTTTGAGCCTTGCATGACATCAAACTCGGGGGAATTCCTGGCAAAGTTGTCTCCCAGGGTGAAAGAGAACGAACGCCTGAAATAATTTTGGAAGAGTTTTAATGATTCCGACGAGTCATCCTCAATATCCAGCCATTTCGTGATTCGTTGAATGAGGAGTCGGTGTCGATCGCATCTTGAGCTTGCTATTTTGTCGATGGGTCCGAAGTCAAAAGAAACATGATCCGTTGGGGTCTTTTCGAGCACAGCGATGAGATTGTCGCAGAATTCGCATTTCAATGTCTCTCCTCCAGCGTTTCTGGTTGCATCTGCTTCATGGCGGTCCAACAGACGTGACTTGAGAAGTAGTTTCAAGGGCTCAACGCATGTGGACATTGTGCTCGGTAATCAGCACAATTGTGGGAGAGACATAACAATCAACCTCTCTCAATGTTAAAGTTGTGCAGGTAGTGTTGTAGAGGGAGCGGACCGCGATGGTGCTGGATTGGACGTGAAACGATGGGTCACAATTCAAGTTATAACTCAAGCATTTGGAGTAGCCACTGCCGACGCTATGATCAGGCAGCAGATGTCAGACTGTGACTGTGGCCTGCATCCCCGGCGACTAAGGTCAGCCGTGGAATGATGATGGAGCGGGGTTCAGACCTGTCACGAGGCACTTCTTCGGGTGGGAAAAGTCATAGGAAATCTTCGGGGTGGACCGGTCAAGTGGGGCCGGCGTATCTATATTCCGGCTCCGATGAACCCCCATAAGGCCGCGCGGTGCCGTGAAGGCATCGCGACAAGATCAATATCCTAGCGTTGTATGGTGCAAGCAAGGATATCTTAGTCGTAAGTCTTCCTCTGATGCGATATCCCATGCCATATTCCAGTTCGACCCTGGATCATTTATCAGAAGTTGAACAAGTGCTAAAACACCGTCATTGTACTAGAACGAGGACGTAGATGACTTGTAAGCCGATGCAGGTACATAGACTTCCCAACGTGTGTGAACCAGCACATACGACCATACCCATTGGAAAACTCGGGATCCCGTCCGCTCTCCCATAGATAAGCCAATGAGGGCCGGATTAGTAGTTGGGTCGGTGACGACCAGCGAATACCTGGTGTTGTATGTTTTTGCCGTTTTTGTCCCCCTACCAGGGGATGACGTTCAAAAATAGCCTAAGCTTAAATTAATAATGATCATTGCTGTTATTGAGTGACCTATGTTTAGTATAATCGCTTTGTGTTCCTGTTGGAAAGTTCCCCTAATTACCTAATGTGTTCTATGTTGTACGGATACGTCGTACCAAACCACACATTCAGATAGAACCTTTAGGCGCAATGCATAGAACCTTGTCAGTGGTGGGCGGGGGAATCTGCGCGACATTTAAGATCTATCAAGGTCCCCGGCATCGACATAGTACATCAAGCTTTCCGAGCCATCGTACCAAGTATATAGGTATGTGCTACACTGCCCTGCAGGAGATTACCTGCGTGGGGCTCCACGACGCCATCAGGGTTCCTTCGAAAGAGGGGATTGTACCCACCGTACCTTATCGATCAATTAGTGAGCCACAACGGCGCGAATGCGTCAAATTTGAGAGAAATTTATCCCCTGTCTTCGATATGACGAGAGAAAGTCTAAGCCAATCAGCGCATCAGAAGGGGTGGGCTAGATCCAGTAGCTCCCGCAACAGCCGCAGTCAACCGGAACTGGGTAAAGGGTTATCACAAGGTCCTGTTTGTCTATCAAGGTGTCCGTATAGCTGGAAGAGCCGTATTCCAGGTGACCAAAGTGACCAAAGTGACCAAAGTAAACAAGCTACATGGCTATCACAATCTTCAGGTCATGAAAGCCTCTAGAGCAAGCAATGGAAAAAGACAGTACTTGCAATTCTTACAGAGCAGGTGATCTAGACTATAGGTTCAAGTTGTTATTTTTATAAGCTAGAACATATAGAAAGATATGCATAATAGCGTTATGGAAGCTTTGGCTCGGTAAGGCTGGTTGTAGCGGAGATTTGTCCGTATATAAAACTATTCGTGCGATGAGACGAGTAGAATATGTGTGTGAAGTTGTACAATTGTAGCCACGTGACTGGGCCAGCAAAAGGCGAGACCTCATAGTAAAAAGACGTTTTTGCGATACTAATGAAGCGGACTCTAGCTGACAAGTCTGGCGCTTTTGCTAGCGTAACAGCATTTGACACGCTTTTGGTGGAGTCGAGACATGACAGCATGTGATGCAGGGGGTTGGGTGAGAGGGTCTGATGGATTTGGTCAAAGAACTCAGGAAACGTACTTATCTTTGTGAAGTAATAAAGTATCTTATCAATTTCTGCTTTTTCGCGAGCGCAATTTCTTTCTCATTTCCTTTTCCGTCATTGGCTAAAAAACAGGTTGTAAATCTGAATAAACCGAACCCGAAGTGTGCTTCGCTGACTTCCTTTCATACTACAAGAACCACGTATTACATATGTTCCAGACCATCTGCCTCGTACCTCGGTTCGACTGTTTCGATTCTCTGGCAGGGTGTATGAAGTCGGTCCCTTCGAAAGGCTTAGTCTTCGCGGATGCAGTTGGGTCCACATATGCATCGGTTGCATCCAGGAGCTGATTGTTTGTTTGTTTGTTTGAGTATTTAACGCCTGGACGTCCCTGTCAAGGGCAAAGGGCGCTCAAGCGGACTACTGACTACAACTAAATACATGTTCGCCTGCTGTCACAGTCGATTCGCATCCTGCTGCAATCCTTAGCCTCTCCTTGAGTGTTTCTGTTAATACGGTCTCTTCCGTCCTGTTTAGGCCAAATGGCTCCCCAGACTAGGTTCGCAAGGCGCATCCACCCCCGGTCTATGTCGTAGCTTTGCTACGGCTAGATCGGGGGATTTTGTGCGACCCTTGTAACAGTGCGAGTCGGCACTGAGTGAAGTGCTCGCAGGGTTCAGTTAGGCGGAATATCCATCCAGGAGCTGAGTATCCAATCTGGATCAAGATACGTTACAAAACGGTTCTCTTCAGAGTGTTCCTCAATGCCAGTTTTCGTCTCCTTATTCGCCCTACAAGCCATCATCTCACTCTAATGCGTCGTTGTGACGAGGGAGGAATGCCTTGACCTATGGCTGTCACGTTGTCATGACTAGTTGGCAACATGCGAGCCATCATAGGAGGGTCTGCAGACAAAGCGTCCAACCACGACTGCAGAAATAGATAGGGGAAGCTATGCATCCAAATCACGAGGAAAATACCTCATGTTGACAGATCACATGCATGCTGCTAGCTTGCTTGACTAGCTCTTTTTCGCAAAAGTTGGAAGCGGACCGTTTACTAGTCTAGCCAGTAGTGTCATGCCCGAGACTATTTGACTCTACAACGTCTCACCGTATGGCCTGCCGTAAACTCACGTTTCTTATGACATCTCATTCTTTACGCTTCCACCTTTCTCTCGAATTGCAGCCCATTGACTTGGAGAGACCAGAATGACGACCGAGACTTGTGGGAAACCCTCTGCCAACGCAGGCGATGCGGTTGTCACGATCGAGAAGCCTTTGACAGGCGACTGGTCTAGGGTGCAGCGCGTTTCGGAAAAGCTGCCACATAATGACGACCCTGTCGAGCGCATCGCTCAGGGTATCGTAGAGCTCTTTAAACGCATCAAGGGACTCGAGAGCCTGTATCCCAATCCCACCAACGGGGCCATCCTCAACCAGCTTTTTGACCTAGTGACAACATCCAAGACAACTAGAGCACAGGAAGAAAAGGTAGGCTTACTGTAATCTGTCTTTTACCTCGTCTACGTGGCTCCCTCCCTGACTGACACTTTCTTTCCATGTAGATTATGACCGACGCACGCGTGACTGCTGTCATCCCGGAGCTCCGTCAACTCTGGGGCGAAGGAGAGTACCTCCTCGAGCTTGAGTTCGCACGCAAAGTCATCAGTGGAAAATCAAGAGCAGAGAGTCAGGTGCTCTTCGAATCTTTCCCTTACTTGGACCAGTACCACCAGCTGGCGCGCATGTGAGTCACAAAATAGCAATATCCCCATGCCCCCCCTGTATCTTTCTAATTATGTGTTCCCTTCTGGGTGACTGACCTTCCATCACTTCCTCAGGGAGGCCAACACACTCGACACAGCCGTTGGCGAAGCTCAGCTTCCACGCCCGCGCAAGGTCACCTTCCTCGGTTCGGGTCCAACGCCTTTCACGGCCCTATGTATGCGGCCGAGGCTGGGTCGCGACGTTGAATTCGTTAATATTGACCGCAGCGAAGAAGCCATCCAACATGGATCCCTGGTTGCCCGCTGCTTAGGTGACGACATGCGCTTCGTCAAGGCTGACGTCTCCTCTATACCTGAAGACATTCGGGACAGCGACGTGGTGCACTTTGCGGCCCTCATCGGCGGGGACGAAGAGCAGAAGCGTGATCTGCTGATCAGCGTCGCAAAAGTCATGAAGAAGAACGCCCTCATCATGTTTAGAAACACCGACAGCCTGAGGCAGTGTCTATACCCAAGGGTGGACACAGACGACTATGAGGTTCTAAAGTATTTAACTCCCGTTGTCACGACGAGGTACTTTGGCAAGTCAACAAGCTTAACTAGCATTGTGTTCAGTGTCGACTGAAGGATATATCATTCCGTTATGAGTTAGTATTAAAGACCGAAACATGCTTTAGAATAGAATAAGAAACCCTCTTACTAGAAACCATCCCTAACTATAAGGAACAATAACCCATTGTGCTGACATGCACATGGAATGTTGAACTAATAATATGAGCCGAAAGCTTGGTTTCAACTCACGGTAGAATTTAGGGACAGAGCGAATAGGGAGCGGAGGAAAGTGGGGATCAATATTACAGCGATGACAGATCCTTTGAATTGGTAGATGCCTCGCGTACTTGTCAAACTAACTAGATCCAAAGATCATCAAAATGATGATGAACCACCAAAGCTGGGTTCTCTTCTCTCACTAACAGACCTTCCTCTCTTCCCATAGACCGGTGCAGGGCTTTGCCACGTAGTTGAATGTCAACTGGCCTTGAGCGACATCGTTCGAACCCGGGAATCCGGTGGGCACACTGCCGCACACTTTGCAACCATGGCTGACAAGATGGCCGACAATATCTTTGGCCTTCTTGGCCTGCCAGCCGCCCGTATTCTGATAGAAAGCGCAAATGCCACCCCCAACACCCCATCGGCTAAAGCAAGCAATCTGCTGGCCGTTGTTGAACCAACGACCGTCAGGGATACTTCTTATCAACCTGCGCAAAGTGATCGTGACTTGGGTCAGATGCCATTCGATTAAGTCCCAGAAGGATGTAAACTCACGCGGCCAATTCTGAAGCAGCGCCCTGAAAATTGTCGGAGTTGCAGTTACCCGAACCGCGGCAGTTGATGCCTAACGCAGCGGCGGGGGATAGGATTGCCGCGGCAACAGCCAAGATGTCGAGTCTCATGTTGGAGGAAGAACTAGGCAACACAGCTGTAGAGTATTTATCACAAGCTGCTAGGTTTGAGGTGTACTTTGTGTGATTGTCGAATTCTGATTTATGAAGAGGAAAAGTTTTGAACAATCTATGAATGATCCCTTATATAGTCGTTAAATGAGATACATAATTCTATTGACATCCCATTCATACGTAGACCATATCAATAATTCAAGCGGACTTCCACCGCCAAGAAGAACAGGCTTGGGTGAATGCTTCATCTGGTAGCTTCTTAATAACGGGCAGCATCGCCCAGGGAAATAGGCATGGATAAATGCAATATCAGGTATGCTGCTTAGTAACGGGCAGCATCGCCAAGATAGTCACTGAACTAAACATAGAAGGTGGTAGAGGTTAAGTGGCGTAGCCAAGGTAGAAGCATGTAGGTAGGCATGAGATTGGTCATACGCGACTTTTATGGAGTTTCCAAGACCCCAACGACTCAGAACCACTAGGACTTAATCTAGCCCTTGAAGATGCTGGGCGTGTCTAAGGTTCAACCGTGAATAGTGTGTTCGGATTAGGTTGCCTCCTGGACTGACGTATGGTGAGTAGGTGGCAGCCCCATTGAGCATTCCAGAAAACGTCAACCGTTCAAAAGAGAAACTATGTACAACCAAGACCTTCAACATGCCAGAGGCAGGCTCACGTTCCCATTCAAAGGTCGATTTGACCAGCAAGACACTGTATTACCCTGGCCGTTATTCTGCGGGCCATGTCGCTATGAGGAGCGAGAAACTCATCATACTGCTACGGACCGGCGCAGGTAAGAGTTAGGCACTGGGTGAATAGCGTGGTGCCTAGGGGGTTCACGGCGGTCCAGGCGGCCGTCGTTGACAAGACCAGGCGCTTCAAGCAAGCGATGGGGCCGGGGCACAAGGGGGTGGTGTTCTACCAGTCGAAGGCAAAATGCGAGCAGGTGGCAGCGGCAATCAGGTGTCTGGTCGACACGGCATCCATTACTATAGATAGGTAGGCAGAAGCGCGAGTGGCGTGGTCGAGTGGACAGACAGGAAGCCGTTGGATCGCAGCAACAACGGGGCTGAACAAGGCAGGATTTCAAAATCTCGCCAACATTTAACACCGCGCCACAATTCACCCCCATCCATGGCTTGCGCAGGTGACGCACATGAATGCTTGCACGGTTAGTGAGGCAAAGAGCTCAGATCTTAGTCGTCAGTCAGCAATGCGAGTAATCGGATCGGGAGTTTTCGGTATTCCATACTCGGTCAATCAAAATGCTGTTAGGTCCAGGCTAGGCTCAGTATCAACCAAGCTGGCTGGGCATCCTAGCCCTCTCATCCTGCTTCCAGGAGCGTCAAATTGGCCCTGTGCCAATGCCTACGGGGACTGAAGCTGACATGACATCACAGCGAATGATCCATCAGGAGTGGTCACCTGTGTTCATCACGCAAGTCAACCATTCCCTTGTCTGGATCATATCGCATCGTTCTCTTACGCATTGGAGATTCAAAACCGTCGAGACTTTCGTCTCCACTTCCCCGGTGTCAGGTGCCCGGAGCGGGGCCCCAGGGGGGGGGGGGGGGCACCGGAGTGGGGCCAGGACCGGATAAACTAGTCACCGAAAGAACACAAAAAGGGGAAAACTCTGCAGGACTTAGGGGTTAGGGGAAGCAGATTGGAATAATCGTCACAATTGAACCCTTACTTTTACTCGATACTATCCCCGCCTCTGACACCCGGCTTGGTAATTAACCCCATCCCGTCCTCCTTTCTTACACCAACGTGGGACTTCCCACACACACCAGAGGGACCTATCACGATCAGCAAAGTTATTATCACCACCTAAATCGGACGTAATCTCCTATGGGCAGCGAGAGCATAGAAAACCCGCATTGGAATCTGTGCAAAGGGTTTACAAAGCTTGTAAGCGCCCGTCTGAGGCAGTGGTGTGCGTCTGGCATCGGTCATTGTGTGACCGGTCGAAGGACCCACGTGCACTGCGACATAAGCATAAGTCTAAGTGCACGTGACAGGCGGGGCCGCTAGCGGCACGGGCCTATGGCCAATCAAAGGATACGTACTATTACATGAGGCCCGACGCCATACCAATTACCTAAGCCATACGTCTAGGAAGAAATACACCGTCCAGATATAGAGACTAGCTAACTACAAGTACACCACACCGTACTATTGGACATAGATAGTCTAGTTGGACCTGGGCTTTTTTTGGCCGAAAATTATAGAGTTGACAGGGTTGAGAAAATCCATTCATCTGGTGAACCGAGACTCCTTGTACGAGGTAGTCCAATTACACTAAAACTTGGAGTTTTAATAAGCTTTATCTTAAGGGCTGGATTTATAATTATACTAGGGTCTGCTAGGAGAAAAAAGCGAAGTCTGCTTTAATCTAAGTTTCGTCTTTGTCTTTCTCTGATCTTAAGGTTTTATACACATAAGGTACACTTCTATATAAGATATATATTGTCAGGTGCCTGGAGCGGGGCCCCAGGGGGGCACTAGAGTGGGACCAGGACTAGATAAACTAGTTACTAAAGGAATAATAAAAAAGGAAAACTCTATAGAAGATAGGGGTTAAAGGAGGTATATTAAAATAATTATTATAATTAAACCCTAACTACGCCTATTACTAACTCCTTTACTTAATACTATTTTTACCTCTAATACGTTTTAATATCTCCTTATCCTTAGGTGTATTAACTACTAAAGTAGTAATAGTGCTTACTAAATCCTAAACTATAGCCTAGTAATAAGGGAGCGCTATAATAGGATAACTAATACCTAATATAACTAAGTCTATACTAGTAGATAAGTAGTATGTTATTAACTTAAGTAAGCTATTAAAAAAAGAGCTAAAGGCCTTTCTAAAGAAAAAAGTAAAAAAAGTAAGAAAAAAAAAGATAATTAACTAAATTAAGGCCCTTTAAAGTAGTATATCTATAAAAGATATATAAGAGGAAATAAAGATAACTACTAATCCCTAACTAAAGACTAAGTAACTTTATACTAATATACTCTTAAAAAGATTACTTACCTTAAGGTATAAGGGGGAAAGCTAAAATAAACTATAAGAATTCTTATTTTAGTTAAAAATATATTTTAATATAGTAAAAAATAAGTTTATAACTAATAATAATAAGGTAAGATATACTAGTACTATACTAAAAAGTAACTTAGTATATAAATAAAAAAAGTATATAAGTTTTTATTATAAAAGTAAAATTAGTAAAGTGCCTTAAGAAGTTATAAAAAACTAGCTAAAAGTAAATATTACTAATAATAATATATAGGCTTTTAGTACTACTATAAAGCTAAACACTATATAATAAGCCTTAAGCTAGTTATACTAATAATTTATTAATAAGTATAAAATAGTTAAGAAGGAGTGCCTTAACCCCTAAATAGAGAGGTAGTAAGTAGTTTATATTTTAAACTAAGTACTCTTAGACCTAAAGACTTATATACTTACTAAGGGGCTACTAGCTACCTACTAGAAGTTAGATAATATAGTAAAAAAAGTAAAAACACTTACTAAGACTTATATAAAAAAGGTGTTAAGAGGATAGCTAAGGTAAGGTTAAGAGAGAAAAGGCTACTAAGAGGTAGTAGTATAACTAATAATTATAAACGCCCTCTTAACTAAAGCTATTAGTATATATATAATATTAATAGCTATAATATTAGTAAGTATACTTATATTAAAGCTAAAAGTTAAGAAAAAAGAAAAAGGTATAACACTTTAGCTAGAGAGGACTTAAGGACTACTTACTTATTATAACTATAAGAAGCCTAAGTACTAGTTAGCTAGGTGTAGTAAGAAGAAGTACTATAAGTATAAATAACTATAATACTTAAGGAGATAGTACACCTTAGTGCTAGTAAGGGTTAATAGTATTAAGCTCTCTTAAGATAAAGGACTATATTACTACTTTAAAGTAGATTTTTATACTAAGATAAGTAGTATATAAAAAAAAAAGAAGACGTTAATTAATCTTAGTGTAAATAAGAACATACTATACTAAAGGATATTATATATAGAGGTACTAGTAGAGGTAAGCTAAAGGGGCCTAGCGCTCTAAAGTATATAAAGAGGTAAGGCCTTAGACTATAAAATAAAAAAAGTAGTAATAAAAGTTATAGATAATATAAAGGTCTTAAAGACGTAAAGCTATACCTTTTAAGTTAGTAATATAGCTAGGTATAACGCTATCTTAAGGATCCTCTAGAGATAAGTAGTATAACTAAATATAAAGTAAATAATAATTAGTTAGATATACCTATTAAAAAAAGACTACCTCTAACTTATCTAAAGTAAGTAAGAAATTAAAAAGGTATATAAAATATTAAGAGCTATTTTAGCTTATTAACTAATAATCTACTACTTATAATATAGGGGGGATAAAAAAGCACTAAAGATACCTTATTATAACTAAGGAAAAAAGGTAGAGGCTAAATAAGATAAAGGAATAAAGGCCACCTTACTAGAGGCCTATAAAAGATAAGTATATATATTTAATATAGGCCTAGCAGCCTAGCTAGTAGGTAATAAAAGCTACTTATATATAATTAATTTAAAGCTAGAAGTAAAAGCGCTATTTAGCTTTATTTACCTATTAGCTAAGAAAAAACTAGAGAAATTAAGGATATATATTAATAAGTTACTTAAAAAGGGCTAAATTAGACACTTTATAAGCCTAGTAAGGGCATTAATCCTTTTTATTCTTAAGAAAAGAGGTAAGCTACGTCTTTATATAGACTATAGGGGGCTTAATAAAGTAACTATTAAGAATTATATACTACTACCTCTTATTAGTAAGATCTTTAACTATTTAGTAAAAGTAAAGTAGTATATAAAGCTAGACCTAAAGGATATATATTACTAAGTAAGGATTAAAGTAGGTAATAAATAGAAGATAGCCTTTTATACTTACTATAAACACTTTAAATATTATATTATACTATTTAGGCTAGTTAATATGCTAGTAATGTTTTAGGCGTATATTAATAATACCCTTATTAGGCTAGTAGACGTTATATATATTATTTACTTAGATAATATCTTAATCTTTATAAAAGATAAAAAAAGTTATATAAAAGTAGTTAAGTAGGTACTAAGCTAGTTAGACGCTATAGGGCTATATATAAACCTTAAGAAGTGTATTTTCTATACCTAGTCTATTAGGTTCCTAGGTTTTATAGTGTTTAATAAAAGGATTACTATAAAGTATAAGTAAGTATAAGTAATAGTAAAGTAGCTACTTTTTACTAGTGTTAAGGAGATCTAGGTTTTTCTAAGGTTTATAGGATTTTACTAGTAATTTATTAAAAACTACTTTAAGGTATATACACCTTTAATAGATAGGCTAATATTTAAGGTAGTAGGGGAGTAGGTAATAATATAAAAGGTAGAGGAAGCTTTTTATAAGCTTTACGCTTTATTTACTTAAGCCTTAATCCTTTAGTATTTTAACCTTAAGTTACTTATATAAGTTAAAATAGATATATTTAACTTTATAATTAGTATAGTAATATACTAGCTTTATAAGAGAGTATAGCACTTAATAGCCTTTATATTATAGAAGCTATAAGAAGTAAAACTTTATTATAAGGTACTAAAAGTAAAGCTACTTATAATCTATAAAGTAGTAATTTACTAAAGATACTACTTACTATATATATAATATTAAATAGTATTCTTAATAGACTATTTAAGGTACTACTACCTAGCTACTAAGCCCTAACTTAATAGTTACTAGGCCTAGCTACTATAAGATTTATTATTATTTAACTTTAAGATTAAGTACTAGCCTAAAAAAAATAATATAGTAAATAGGCTCTTATAATAGCTAGACTACTAGCCTGCTAAAGAGGAGGAGAGAGAAGTATATAGTATATTCCTAGTAGACTTCTTTAGTAGATTTAAGAAATAGGTTATAATATTTAGATATAGTAGGTTACTAGGTCTTAAGTTACTAGACTAAAGATAACTTACTACTAACTTAGAAAATAAGATTATTATAGTATAACTAGTAGATAAGTAGGCCTAATTAAAAGGGTAGTAATAACTAAGTAGTTAATAGATAAGAGGAGAGAATAAAGCACTATAGTATAATAAAAGACTATTTATCCTTAATAAGTATATAATAAGGATAAAGTTACTAGTAGTATTTTATAATAAGCTAGCTAGAGGTTACTTAGAAGTAAACTATATACTTAAATATATTAAATAAATATATTTCTAGAAGTTAATAAGGAAGAACGTTAAGAAGTATATAAAGACTTATATAATATACTAGTAAACTAAACTAAGGTACTACTTACTATATAAAAAGCTAGTGCTTTTACTAGTGCCTAGCTAGCTATAAGAATATATAACTATAGACTTTATTATAAAGCTACTAAAGTTAAAGGGCTTTAATAGTAAGGCGTATAATAGTATTTTAGTAGTAGTAAATAAGCTTATAAAGTATACTATTTACTTACCTACCTAAAAGACTATTATAGTAGACTAGCTAGTAACCCTCTTAGTAGATAAGGTGTTCTTAAGATTTAGTATTTTTATAATAATAATATTAAATAGAGGATCCTTATTTACTAGCTATTTCTAGGTAGTAGTATACTACTAGCTAGCTATTAAGTAGAAACTTAGTACTACTTACTACCCCTAAATAAATAAATAGATAAAGTAATAGAATTAAAATATAAAATACTTCTTATAAGCCTTTTATAATATAAAGTAAAATAATTAGGTTAAATAGCTTTTAATAGTAAAATTTATTTATAATAAGGTATAATATAAAGTAACTAAGGTATTACTAGTAAAAGCCCTTATAAGTTATACTTTATAAAACCTTTATAACATAAGACTAATAAAATAAAAACTAGTAAAAGTCTTTATAGCCTATAAAAAGGTTAAGAAGCTAAGGAGCTAAAAGGCTATTATTATTAGTACACTAAAGTCTATAAGCTAGACTTATAAGAAGTAGTATAACTAAAAAAGAATAAATATTAAGTTTAAAGTAAAAAAAAAGGTCTTATTATTAGCTAAATTTATTAAGTAGAAATAACTATTAAAGAAGCTAGTAAATAAGTATTTTAGACCTTTTATAGTAATATAAGTAGTTACTAGTAAGAAAGCCTATAAGCTAGATATAAAAATAAAGTACTATATTTATAATATATTCTTATTATTCTAGCTAGAGAAGTTTAAAGAAGTACTAGTAAAGCCTTAGCCTATTTAAATTAAAAAAAAAAGAAAATATATATAAAGTAAACTAAATAGTAATATATAAAAGACTATAATAAAATAAGTAGTACCTTATTAAATAAAAAAGATATAGTAAAAAAGAAAATTTATAAGAGCTATAAAGAAATATATCTAAGGATTTATAATAAGACTATAAGTAAAAGGTTACTAGGGAGGTATAAGAAGGACACTAAGTAGAAGTAAGTATTTAGCTTAAGGGGCTAGATTTTTTTATTATTCTTTAGTACTAAGGCTAAGAAGTATATAGCCTAAAGGCTAAGTATTTAAAGCCTATAGTAGCTAAGAAAAAAAAATAAAACTAAGAGAAGGCCTAGGGGGAGGGGGGTACTAAGGGGGTAGTAGCACTTACTTCTCCTTTTTATCTTTACCTCTACTAGGCGTACTAAAGGCTATATTACCTCTAGACTAAAAGTTAAGGTTAGTAAAGTACTAAAATAAAAGTTAGTAACTAAGGAGTAGTAAGAGGTTACTAAAAAGGGAATAATATATAACCTAAAAGTAAGTAGTAGCCTACTTAAAGAAAAAGGCGCCTTAGGCCTTAATAGCCTTAGTCTGCTCCTTAAGGAGTACGTTCTAGTGCTAAAGCGCTATAGTAGCTACCTTAGCTAACTTAGCTAGAGAGGTAGTAGTAGTAATAAAAGCCTTAAGGGCTATAACCTTATAGTTATAAAGGAGCTACTTTTTCTCCTTAGCCTTAGCCTTATACTTAGCGTTAGGGGCCTTAGTAGTATTTATTTTCTTTTAAAAGGCTTTTTTAACTATAGTCTAAGTAGTAATAACCTTCTCTTATATAAGGGGTTAGTTAGGAGGTAGTTATAAGGTACTAAAAAAGATATACTTTATAGTAGTAGTAGTTAGTATATATAGTGCTATTATAGTAAAAGGCCTTAAAAATATTCTTAAGGGTAAAAGTAGTAAAAGTTATAATATAAGTAGCCTATAAGAGGTTAGTAAGGGGTTACTAAAGTACCTCTTACTAATAAAAAAAAAAAATAATATAAAAATACTTATATAAATATACTTCTTACTATATATTTTAATATACTAAAAGTACTTATTACTAGTAGCTAATAGTATAATTAAGACTAAGATATAAATAAAAAAAGGCCTTTAAGAAGTACTAAGGTGTTAAATACTTACTAGTAGTCTTAAGGTAATAAGAAAACTTAGCCTTAGTATTAGCTATATTTATATACTAAATAAATATAGCCTAAAAGTAGTAGTAGTATAAAATAAAATAAACTATAGTATAGTTATTTTTATTTTTTTTATTTAAAGAGCTAATAGACTAAAGGAGTAATAAGGAGGTAGTAGTAAGGCCCTTAGTGCCCTTAGGGGTAGTAAGGGTAGTAGTATTAGTAGTAGTAGTAGTATTAGTAAGAGTAGTAGTAAATATAATAGTAGTAGTAAGAGAGCTAGTAGTACTAGTGTTATTACTAGTGCTATTACTATTACTATTACTACTAAATAGTAGTAGTATTTTCCGCCATGAGTCGCGAGTAATAATAATAATATAAAGGTAGCTCCGATGCCAAACGTCACGTGATTCCAATGCTTGCAGTCTACTCATGAAATGAGCCTCCTAGGTATTGGCCGGCTGACGACCTCTAGTGTGGCACGTCACGGAATTTTCCTGTGAGTGCCGTTTTACGCGATAAATTTGAACTTATGTCTATTTTGTACCGCAGCATAACTTAAGGCTTAATAAATAGTTAATAAAAAAGCTAAATATTATAATAATAAAAATAATAAAAAGTATATAGTACTTAAAGAAGTACTATAAGGCCTAGTTAATAAAAAGTATTAAAGGGTATTATAAGTAAATAAAGTATCCTTATTATAAAGTAAGTAGTCCCCTACTAAGTAAGGTAATATAAGACTTATACTTTAGGCTAAAAGACTAAACTATACTAAGGGAGTAGTAGTTAGGGCCTAGCTAGAATATAATAATATAAAAGTAAAGCTAAAAGTAAATAGTTAGCTAGAGAGATAACTACTTATTAGGTAGCTTACTAGGCTTAGTAAGCGTTCCTAGATATCTCTTAAGATACTAAAGGATAAGCATAAGGCATAAGGCTTAGCTATTAGATAGTCTAAGTAGCTAATAGGGGGACTACTAGTAGGTAGCCTACTTAAGGCCTTAAGAGATTAAGAGTTAGGCGTAAGGCTTAGCTATTAAATAGTCTAAGCAGCTAATAGGGAGACTACTAGTAAATAGCCTACTTAAGGTCCTAAGGGTAAGACCTTAGAGGGGGGGGATTATATTAAGTGCCTAAAGTAAGGCCCTAGGGGGGCACTAAAGTAGGACTAGGACTAAATAAACTAGTTACTAAAGGAATAATAAAAGGGGAAAACTTTATAGAAGATAGGGGTTAGAGGAGGTATATTAGAATAATTATTATAATTAAACCCTAACTACGCCTATTACTAACTCCTTTACTTAATACTATCTCTGCCTCTAATATATATGCTATTAAGGATGTAAACCTCTAGATAAAGGTTATAGTAAAACTAATAGGGATTTTGCCCTGTCTAGTTTAAGTACAGAAGTCAGGTAGGCAGTTAGGTCTAGGGGTAAATCTAAGCACTAAAAAGCTGTTAAGTTCCCTGCCTTAAAAGCCCTACCTGAACTAGTTAGATGCTAGATACTATCACTATAGAGTTAAATAAAGAATAGAAAGTAACATAAATAGATTAAATAATAACTACGGCTTTTTCTTTATAGTCTATGTAACCTCTGATCGACTTGTAATATGCCTTATATGATCTTGTAATAAATTATAGTCTTGTTTCCCCGTGAGCTATCTAGTACATAGGCTACAGCTTTGGGCAAAAACAATGTCTGTACATTACAACAACTCTTTATTCCAGCGGTGCCCCATTCACTCCCAATGCCGCTTTGTTTGTGACCCCCAAAAGTGGCCATTGGGCTGATTACCGTGTGTTGATTGACCCAGACACTACCCGCCTGGAGTTCACGCGCGAGCTCGCTGGCCTTGTGGACATTGCTACCCCAAACCGACGCACCAAGGCCCATGCTGGAGTTGTTCGCGCGGGTGATGACATTTTCCTCGTCCCTCCAGCTGAGAAGTGGAATGATTGGGCCTGACTGTTGTCAGCGAAAGAATATCCTGCTCCTGGTGATGCCAGTATAGACATACCAAACTGCTCCTCGACAACGATCCGGGAATCATCGGCCGGCTCGTCGACAATCATGGGCTTCATGTAGTATCCTGGTGATGATGGCTTCACCTGTCCCCCAACTAAAACCTTGTAGCTTTCCCTTTCAACGTCGTCTAAAAGCGCCTTCACCCGCTCGTGTTGCGGAGCGTTTTGAAGCGGGCCATGCGTGCTGGTTTCCGAGGATGCGTCACCGATCGAATACTGCGCAAGGCTTTGCACCATGGCGTCTCGGAACTCTTCGTAGATATCCTCGTGCACATAAACCCTCTTGATTGTGATGCAAACCTAGCGCAAGGATTAAAACGTCTCCGCAGCGATGGAGGAGCAGCCCTTGGCTCGAGATACTGCTGAACGCACCTGTCCAAGATTCATAAACGCGTTCGCCGCGACCTATGCAAGGGGCGAATCAGTATGCAGGCTTCTTGATCCAATTGCTGGATATTTATGCCGGCCTGGTAGCTAACCTTTGCCGCAACGCTCTTGACTTGGACGTCTGGGAGGACAATCGCCGCGTCGTTTCCGCCTCTGTTTGGACATTAGCATCCACTTCGTTCCAGCTTTCTTTGTGACATCACCGACAGTTCGAGCGTGACACGCGTCAGGTTCTTGCTGGCACTCCTCATGACCTCTTTCCCAGCCGCCACGGAACCGGTGAAACTGATCTTGTTGAACCCTGGATGACTGGTCATCCAGGGACCCAGGTCATCATCGCCGCTTAGCGACTGTACAACGCCCGGAGGAAAGAATTGCTGAGCGAGCTCGACCAACTTCAAACAGCTGTACGGGGCAAATGGTCTGTTTCCTGGTCAGCCTGGGGCAGCAACGGCGACGGCCAGATCTCATACGATGGCTTCAGGATGATCACGTTACCAGTCAACAGAGCCGGTGCAAGCTTGCCAGTGGCCATCAACAACGGGAAACTCCATGGGACAATGGCAGCGACAACACCCAGCGGCACATATCTCGTCACCACTGTGCGCCGCTCGCTATCTTCTACGACCTCTTCCCGCCACTCGATCTGTGCATGGCCGCGTAGGAACAGGGGGAGGAGCTCGACCTCATGATGGGCCTCCACTATCTGCGTCAAGTCAGCAACACAGATCTCTCGTGGCTGAGGGATGCAGCAGCACACCGTCTTCCCATGCTCCCGTGTTAAAAGGTGGGCGAGGTCGGTGCTATGGGCTTCGATAGCGGCGGCGAAGTTCAGGACGGCCTTCTTGCGATGCTGATCGGGCAAGCGAGACCACGTCTTAAACGCGGCTTTCCCTGCAGCAACAGCGTCGTCGAGGTCTTGTTGCGTTGCGACGGGCACAGGAGGCAGCGGCTGTTTGTTGGAAGGATTCAGACCATGTCTCGAGGACTGAGTCGGAGCGCATTTTCCACCGACTATCTGGACAAAGTCGTTATCAAAATCAACTGGTTGATGGCCCATGGTCATTCTGGCGGGCTTCCGGTCTTATCGGAAATAGTTCGAACAGCCTTCCGAATGACCAGCAAGGGGCCAATAGCCGCTTTTGATTGGGTATATATATAGGATAGTGTGCCAAAAGCCACTGGGTATTATTTACCGAAAGTAAGCCGCCCAGATGAATTGTCTATCCGAATTCTCCCCATTGATGATAGGCCCTCGCTTCATCCCTGTCAACAACCCCTGGCGGCAACATCCGAGGATGCATGAGCTAACGCAAGTTCGGATTCGGCGACGGGATCGGCAATAAGCCGCCTCTACAAAGTCTGAACAGCGCATCGCCGTGAGTGATATCAATCAAGAATGAGGTGAGTGGCCTCTGTTCTCTATGCTGAAGCCCCAAGCACTCGCTCGTCTACGCCGGTTCTCCATCATGGTCGCCATCAAGGCCGGCAACGGAAGCCAGAGTCTCCGGCTCCCCCGTATTCTTTGCCTCCATGGCGGCGGCACAAACGCAAACATATTTCGGGCACAATGTCGGGTTCTCAAGCTGCATATTGCGACCACTTTCCGCCTCGTCTTTGCAGAAGCTCCTTTCCTAGCACCACCGGGGCCTGGAGTCGCGTCTGTGTACGATAGCTGGGCACCCTTCAAAAGCTGGGTAGTTCCGCCTGACAACGATTACGACGGGCAGCACACGGACGAAGCAAAGGCCATCGAAAACAGTCTCAGAGCCGCGATGGAGGATGACGACCAATGCGGTGCGACAGGGGAATGGGTCGGCCTCCTGGGCTTCAGCCAGGGGGCGAGAATCTGTGCCAGTCTGCTTCTCAGTCAGCAAATGCAACAGGAGACTGCCACACCTGCTACCAACTGGAGGTTCGCGATCCTGCTTGCCGGCTCTGGGCCGCTGCTGGTACTCAACCTGCAGCTTCCCACAGCGCCGGCGCGGGACGACCAATCCACGGCCACTATGACCGGCGCACCGGAATCGGCACTGGCGAGTCCCGTTTTGGAGTTACCAACTGTTCACGTTCATGGACTGCACGACCCGGGGCTCCCCGAGCATCGTAACCTGCTTAGCCAGTGGTGCCGGCCTGCGTCTACCAAGCTTATGGAATGGGATGGGGATCATCGGGTTCCGATCAAGACGAAAGATGTGCTGGCTCTGGTAACTGTCATTCGCGAAGTAGCGTGCGAAACAGGCGTCAGGATAAATGCTGGCCTTTCCATTTAGATAGTACTGCAGAGAAAAAAGTAAATCAAAATCCATCGTATAAAATTGCCCAGTGTCTTCTGTTCACGTCTCGACCCTGTCACGTGTGATTCTTTTAGTCGTGTACTTTTCTTCGGCTTTCGCGATCTGCGTTATGTTTCAAACCGAACGCAATTACTATATTCTGAACATATTCTAATATTTCGGAGCTGTTCCCAAGACCCTACCTTAAACCTTGTATTGCCTCCAGGGCCAGACGATGCCCGTGAGATACCGCTATTACTCAAAAAACTCCATCTAAGCACATAATTTTGAGTGGAAATGTAATGCTCTCATCCTATTGTCCATCCTTCACGCATCCGATATATTGACATGCACACTTCGGGTCACAACATCCGCGGCCAACCGGGCGAGAGATGGGCTTTGGAGGATGTTGAAAATAGACAGTTCGGCACCTGCTTGGCTGAAGAGCATGTTGCGGACCTCAACGGCCATGAGCGAGTCCACGCCTTGCTGGGTAGGGGACTCGGTCATATCGATATCCTCGACCGGGACCAAGAACATGTCTGACAGCATCTCCGCCAGGGCCGACTCGACAAGACCAATCGCTTCGTCACGGGACGCACACCCGGCCATCTTGGCGGCCAACGAGTCGCCCTGCTCTTGGTCCTGCTGGCTCTCCGTGCTCGAGGAAGCCTGGCGGTATTTGAGCGGCAGGAAGCGCATGTCGCGCCCGAGATCGCTGCTGACGTCCCAATGAGGACCGGGACCGGAGTTGATTCCGCCCATGATGAACTGCGGGCTGTAGGGCGACAGGATGGACGACTCCAGCGCCGCCAGTACCTGGTCTTCGTCAATGACCATCCGGCCCGCTTTGACGAGAGAGTTGCGCAGAACCTCGGCGGACGACGCCTCGGCAACGTAACCGACGTCGTCGACGACCGAGAGGTCTATCGACACGGCGGGCAGGCCGCACTGCTTGACGCGGTAATGGGCCATTGCGTCTTCGTACGCGCCGGCTGCTGAGTATGCGGCTTGGCTGGGGTAGCCCACGATACCATTGATGGAGGAGAACATAACGAAAAAGTCGAGATCTCCGGGCAAGTTGAATTGGTTGTGCAAGTTCCAAACGCCCGCGACCTTGCTATCGATCGTGGTCTTGTAATCGTCGAGGGTCATCTTCTCCACGAATGAGTCCTGTTTTTGCAAAAAGAAAAAAAAGAAGCCTTTGTCAGCTGATTGCTCGCAAGCATTATCGAAAAGGGAGAATGGAGTATCATTCTGCTTACCCGGAGCGCGAAAGCAGCGTGGATCACGCCTCGTATGGGCGGCAGCCCCTCTTCCGCGCAGGTCTGAATGGCGTTGGCGACATCGTCTTCCCGGGCAACGTCGCCGCTGATAAGCAGCACGCGAGAACAGCCTGCTTCACGGAGCTCTAGGGCCAACGCCGCCGTCTTCTCGCTCTTGGACGCATTGCGAGACATGATGACGAGGTTCTTCGCCCCGCGAGACGCCATCCAATGCGCCACAGATCGACCTAGGCCGCCAGTGCCACCGACAATCATGTAGGACGCGTCGCGGGATAGACATACAGCCGTCTTTCGCGGAAGCACGGAAACCATGGCGTCCGAATCGACCGACAGGATGACGTTGCCCAAGTGAGTACCTGTCTTCAACGCGTCCTGCACCTCTGCCAGGTCCCCGGGGCAATGGACGCTGGGGCGGTGGAAGGGGGCGATACCCTTGGCCTCGAGTAGACGAATAACCTCCCGCAAGCAGCGATGCACGTCGGAACCTCCATGCTCCAACAGAGTAGGGACGTCGACGGCCGAGAAGGAGACGTGGCGGGCAAACGGCCGCATCTCCAGAAGGCTGTTCTGATCCACGTCGTGTCTCCCGATATCGACGAACGACCCGAGCGGCGCAACCAAGCCGAAGCTCTTTTGCAGGAGCGGACCTTTGAGAGTGTTCAACACCACGTCCACGCCCCGGCACTCGGTAGAGGCAAGCAGAGCAGCCCCAAATGACGCGTTGCGGCTGTCGAGGATGCGGTCTGCCGAGAGGCCGTACTTGCGCGTAACCCACTCTTGCTCCTCCGGACTGCCGACTGTGGCGAAGATTTCCGCCTTGAGGTGTCGGGCGATCATGATGGCGGCCTGCCCGACTTCTGCCACTGCATCGGTGATCAGGACAGACTGGCCCTGCCTCAGTCTGGCCACTTGGACGAGGGAGTAGTACGCTGTGAGGAAGGCCAGAGGCATGGTCGCCGCGTCCTGGAAGCTCAGCTGCGCGGGTATCGGCATCGCCGAGGTCCACTCGACAACCACGCAACTGGGCAGAGACGACTGGCGGAGCAGGCAGAAGACGCGATCACCGACCGCGTAGCCCTGCTCCAGTGCAGCGCTGCCGACTCGCCTGACTACTCCCGCGCATTCACGGCTCGCGATGCGCTTGTCCGTGTCGTGGAGGCTGATGCCGTACGCCTTGGGCTCGATCTCCACCAGGCCGGGCGCGAGACCATCGACAAACCCACCCGCGTAGCTATCGTCGGTGAATGCCAGTGATGCCGGAGATAAGCATAGAGGCCGGTTGGCCTGGAAGAACGGCTCGGTCGATACTTCGTCCTGCCCGTCAGACCCCGCAAGGCGGGAGGATATCAGCCGATCTTTTGCCACGTCGTGGGAGAAGCGGGGGACGAGAATGATGCCGTCTCTCTCTGCGTACTCAAAGTCTGTCGGGTCCGCAGCGCCGATGGCGGTGCTGTGCTCGGCGCCGTTGCCAAAGGCAGCTTGCAAGACGCGGGTGATGGCCGATGCTCCGGCGTCGGACCACAGAGGCCCCCTGGGGTCGAGATCCAGTGTCAGGAACTTCCGGCCGGTATACTCGGTGCGCAGTGAGCGGATGAAACCGGGAGCCAGACTCAGTTCGGGCCGTTCGCAGTCGACAGCACCGCCGCTGGTAACCCAGAGCAGTCCCTTGGAGTTGGTGCTCATCGCTCGGAGGCCTTCCAGAGCTGCTGGGTCGAGGTCGTACAAGATGGGCTCGCTCATCTCGCCCACGAATATGCAAATCTTGTCCGTGTACCATGCAGCTGCGGCCGAGGCAGAATCGATATCCTGGACAACGGGCAGCTTTTGCTCTTCTTCTTCGTGAGGGTACCTCTGTGCAGCTATAGATTTCTGCAGACCTTGAACCCACTCAGAAGGTGGTGATCCCGATTTCTTGCTCGTGATGATTGCCACTTGCTCCGGGTTTACTCGCAGCTTCGGAGATGGCGTGTCTGCCAAGCGTGACATGACTGCCACCGATGTTGAGACCTCGGGATTTCCGGAATCGTACAGACCGAGATCTACTCCGGAAAAGCCAGCATCTCGGAGATGTCGATCCAACACGGGCTCGCTCAGCAACGGCCTACCAGTGGCTTTGGTACCGGGGCCCTCCGTGGGAGAATACCACCCGGGGAGCAACCCATTCACGAACTGGACCTCGGTCTGATCCTGCAGGTCCTCAGCGAACAACAGCGTGCCACCTGGCTTGAGGAGGTTGCGGACGTGATCGAGTGTGCGGGATATGGACCTGGTACCGTAGAGGACACGGGAAGCGACCACGACATCGTAGGTGCCAATGGCAAAGCCTTGCGTTGCCGGGTCACGTTCAATGTCCAACACGTCGAAAGAAAGGACGTCTTTCCAAGACGAGAGACGCCCGCGAGCCTCGTCGAAGAACGCCGCGGAGATATCTGTGTAGTGGTACGAGGATGCGCGGGGCCCCCCTGATTTGTCAGTGCCGAGGGCCTCCAGTGCGTGGATCGTCATGGCGCCGGCTCCGGCGCCGACTTCGAGAATTCGCAACCGCGGATTCTTGTGGGCCAAGTGCCGTAGGAGCTCGGCGAGTTGTGATCCTGTCGTTTTCACTCCGGGTGATTCCTTGTAGAACCTGAACAGCAGATTGTCTTGGATCATCAGGTCAAGTGGCGAAACCTTGCCGAGTAGGATGTCAGCCAGCTGACCCCCGATTCGGTGTACAATTTCACCGTATCCCCGAGAGGCGGCTGTTCGATCGGCATCGCGACTTGGTTCGGAGCTTTCGAGGCCCAGTTGACCGGAAGCCGCCAGCTGCACTGTATGCTTCATCCACGCATAATGTTCTGCGAGACTCGAGTCCATGCTGTCGACCTCGATCGGGCCGAGCGCAACGAGTGCGGTTTCCATGAAGCCGATGCAAGCGCGCAGAGTCTCGCGTTTGACATGTTCTTTCGGGCAGCTGTTCAAACCCAGTCGCTTTTGAATCGAGAGAATGGTGGCCGGTGAGCTCAGTGAGATGTCGAGCGACCATTCAACATTGCTGCACAGCTCTTTCTTCCACGGCTGGGCCTGCTGAGATGAGAGATTCTGCCCCAAGGACTGATACGCAAAGCCGTCCATTTCCAGCACGACTTGACCGTCCCCAGAGACGGAAACTTCGGCCTCCATTCCCTGGTCATCGTTCCGGGTAAGTTGCGAGTGGACCTCGAGAAGATGTCCCGCAACGTTGCTGATCTTGCTGGATACCCAGGAGTTGCGGACCGAGCGAGGTACCTTGGCAGCGGATTAATGCGCGACGGCCCCTCGCACAGTCGAGTATGGCGCGGAAATGACCGAATCCAGGGTGACGGGGTTCAGGACGTGTTGGCGAGGGAGATCGTTGGGCACGCATATGTCGGCGACAGCCATGGTGACCAGGCTGCACGGCTCCGAGCCGGACTGTATGATGCTCTTCATGTTCTGGAACATCGGACCGTGAGCTATACCCAGAGCCCTCAAGTTGACAAACAGATTGGCCGGGCTGGTGCGTCTTGTGTAGCCTCTGATGTCGCGATTGCGCGCTTCTGGTTGGAAAGCCTCCGGCCCGTCGAGCTCGACTGTGATCAGGCCTTTTGCGTGCTGAGTCCACCGGTTGTCTGCCGTCACTGTCCAAACCTCGAAGTGCCTCCACCCTCGCACACTGACTTCTTTTTCGCCTACGGGGCGCATGCTTGTCTGGATCTCGATTCCATCCGAGCTTTCCGGTATGATCAGCGCTTGCAGGAAGTCGACGTCCTGGAGCCGGTAGCCTGATATCCCTTGAGCGCTCGTGGTCGTGTCCATGGCCGTGAGCTGTTTGATGGCCTCGATGGCGAGGCAAAGGTAGCCCGCCGCCGGATACAATATATTGGACTGGATGACGTGGTCCCTGGTCCACGGTGACTCGGATATGCGAAGCGTGTGGCGCCACCACGGTGCCATCGGGTTGCACCCCTCAACGAGTGAGCCGAGGAGGTCGTGAGGCGGCTGTGTCCGCTCCCGTAGTGCTTTGTTGCATCTCGGCTCCACCCAGTGCTTCACCTGGTGGTTCCAAGGATAGGATGGTAGGTCCGGCAGTACCTTCACCGAATGCTGTCTGCCGTTCGGAAAGTTGACGGCCTTCAGGTCCACGGGGTAGCCTTCCTGCAGCAGGCTGGCGGCGAGTGCCTGCATGGTGTCCTGGGCATTGATCTTGCGAACAAGACAGCCGTAGTATGGCAAACGTACGTCTCTGAACTCGGGTAGCGCAAGGGTCTGCTGGATCGGGCCTCCCAAGGCCGTGTGCGGACCTACTTCGACAATCACATCAACATTCGAGCTGGAGCCGTCCCCACCGCCGAGGACCATGTCAGTGAGAGCAGCAACAAACTGGACCGGCTGGACTAAGCTGTCAACCCAGTGCTTCGGACGAGAGATGGCTTCCGCGCTAGCCACCCGGCCCCCTGTCACCGGAGATGAGAAAGAGATGGGCCCGAAAGGTTCCTTGTCGCAGGCACCCTCCTCAGGCTGTATTCCCTCCAGCGCTTCGGCATACACGCTTGCTATCCGAGCCATGTGGTGCGAGTGCCACGCCGTGTCGACCTTCAGACGACGAGCGAACACGCCCTCTGAGTTGGCCAGATCTTCCAACTCTACCACAGCTGAAAGATCCCCGGCAACAGTGATACTGGATGGGCTGTTGACGCATGCCACTACCGCCTTTCCGCCTGACGTTAGCCTTTCGAGGTAGGACTGTGTGTCCTCCAGGCCGAGTCCTGCGATGAAGAGAAGTCAGAAATACCCGGGAAACGGATCACAGAACACCGGTAAGGGACCGAGGGTTTTTCTTTTTTTATCTTTTCGGAACATACCAACTGCGATCATCGCCCCCTTGACAGGAGCCTGGAGACTTTTATCGGCGGCCAGGGATGCCCGGAAGTAGGAGAAGGCCATGGCTTTCTGGTAGCTCAGCGCCCCAGCGGCATAAGCAGCCGCAAGCTCTCCGCTCGAATGGCTCGTGACGGCAACGGGGACCACGCCCCACGAGCGGAGCAGACGCACAAGCGATATCTGTACGGCGACGCAGATCGGGGTGCTAAGAGCGACGGAGTTGATCCGCGTGGACTCGGCGTCACGCATCAGCTCTTCAGTCAAAGACCAGTCCGCACCCAGCCGCGTCAGGTATTTCTCGGCCTCTTCGAGCGACGCCTTGTACACCGGGTAGGCGGCGATGAGCTCTCTGCCCATGGCGTGCCACTGAGCGCCCTGGCCGGTGAACACCATTCCGATTCTTGGCTGTCGGGAACTGCGCTTGGGCGTGAACTTGGGGGAACGGAGAGTCTGGACGACTGCGTCAAAGTTGTTCGCCGCGGTAGGGACCGGATATGCAGCCATCCACGGAAACCGAGTCCGGCGCTCACCCAGGGTGTACGTCAAGCTCTGGAGGTATGCTTCAGCATTTTCCCGGGTGGACCCCTTCAGTTCTAGGAAGTTGCCGAGGTTGGATATCATTCTTTGGCACGCCTGCTCGTCTTTGCCACTCAGAACAAGAACCTTTGGTCGACTGTTGAGTTCCGTGGATGTGGTGTTCTCACAGGACGCCTGCGGGGATTCGTTCGAGCGGCCATCGGCGTGACCATTCTCACCGCCCAGAGCTGGTAGCCACGGAGTGCTTTCTTCCATGATGATGTGGGCGTTCGCGCCTCCGTATCCAAAGTTGTTGATGGACGCTCGGCGAACCGCGGCAGCCGGCCACGTTTCCAGCGTCCTGACCAGTCTGAGGCGCCAATCCTCCAGGGGGATCTTCGGGTTAGGTTTTTCAAAGTTGATGGAAGGCGGAATAACCCCCCTTTCCAGTGCCAGTACCGTTTTCACGATACTTGCCAGTCCGCTCGCTGCCTCCGTATGACCAAGGTTCGTCTTGACAGATCCGATCAGCAGTGGCTCGCTGCTCGATGAAAAGACACTGGCAATGGCCCGCGCCTCGATTGTATCGCCGGCTTGTGTCCCTGTGTTCAACTGTCGTTAGAAACGAAGAGATACCACCTGCTGCTTGTCAAAGAATGGCGGGAAATGGAGAGATCAAGGGGCCGATGAGAAGGAGAAAAGGAGCAACGCAACAACAAGTAAAAATTAAAAAAAAAAGAAAAAGAAAAACCACATTACCGGTTCCGTGGGCCTCGAAATACTGTGTGTCCTTGGGACTCAAGCCCGCATTCTCGTAGCAGGCACGGATCAAGGCTTCCTGTGCCTCCAGGCTGGGCGTTGTGATGGTCTCCGTCTTTCCGTCTTGGTTGAGTGCAGAGCCGCGGATGACGCCCCGGATTGGATCGCCGGCAGCCAGCGCGTCTCCCAGTCGTTTGATAATGATGGTTGCGACGCCCTCACCGCGGCCGTAGCCGCTTGCGCGCGAGTCTAACGCGTAAGACTTTCCATCTCCGGACAAGAACCTGCTCATCGGTCAGTCGCGAATCATCCACTCGAAAAGGAGGGAAAACCCAACCCTGCAGAGCCCAAGGCTTTGAACATGTCCGGGTTGAGGGTCAGATTCGCGCCGCCGACGATGGACATGTCCGCCTCCCCAGTCCTCAGACTCTGGATCCCCTGGTGCATAGCCACCATCCCAGACGAACAGGCCGTTTCTATTGTCATACTTGCCCCCCGAAGATCGAAGAAATGCGAAACACGATTCGACATCATGGGCACGCCGGTGCCTGTGGCCATCAGCCTAGGCAAGTTATCCGCATCGCGGAGGAGGCCGTCTCGGTAGTCGTGCACGAAGACTCCGGTGAATACCGAGGCGTTGGAGCCCGCGATTGTGCTTATTGGAAGACCGGCTTTTGAGGAGAAGGAGGAAGAGATAGTCAGCGATCGGTCCAGGTGTACAAGTGTGGTGATGGTGGTGGTGGTGGTGGTGGTGTCAGTGTATGGAGTGTGGGTGCTCACCGCTCTCCAAGGCTTCATATACAGATTCCAGCTGTAGCCGATATTGAGGATCTAGGGACTGAGTAAACAAGTTAGATACGACACAAGCAAGTGACTGCATCAATTCCTACCGCCGCGGCTTCGCTCGAGTAGCCGAAAAAGGCAGCATCAAATAGTCCGATATCCTCTTGCAAGAAATGCGCACCCTTGACGTGGGTCTAGGCGTAGCATGTAAGTAAGCATGTGGACTAATCTTTCATTCTTCTCACATGGAATGCATATTGAGTGCTTACACTGTTGAGTCTCTCATTGTTGGGATGGTAGATGCCTTGGAGTCTGAACCGAGACGAAGGGAACGGCGTCCAGCCGCTCCGGCCCCCGGCCAGCATTTCCCACAGCTTCTCGTTGTCTGTCGCATCTCCCGAGAACTTGGAGCTCATGCCAATGATGGCAATGGGCTCGAATGACGAAGCATCCCCGGCACCGTTGCTCGTAGCCCTCATCTTTGTATTGTTGAAATGTAAACCAATGGGTTGAAACGAGAAAGTGCCCAGGGTCAGCGGTACTGTTTGCTGTCCAAGCCGGACTGGGCTTCCATTATCACGAGTTGGCTGAAATAGTCTTGCGACTCTGAAGCACACGAATATGCGGCACGCCTGGGGAGCACAGCCGGATCCGAAAGACAGCGTTCTTGTCTCTGCCAATGTCTGTCTGGTTGAAGAACGGGCTGACAGCCAATCAAGGACATGCAGCATCTTCGGGATGCAGGTTCGGGCCGCGCAATCCTGGGCGTAAGATTATACCCGATTAGACCCTTGTCGGCCCGATCCCATGTCGGCGGCATCAGCAGTGCCCCCATGGTTGGGGGGGGGGGGGGGGGGGGGGTTCGGCTCAGTCTCACCACCGAAGCTGCATTATCGATCCTGTAAGCCGCATACGACCGCGGTCGGGTATTTTCAGTCCTTGTTCGTGGGACGATACCCCAGACAGGTCGGACATGTACCCTCCCGCCCAGGTCCGAATAGTGCAACCCGCGGCGTCTTTTGCCCATCGCAAGCGACTGGGAGGCTTGGTGCCAGCACAGTACCGTCCGTTATAATGAATCAAGAGAAGCCCATAGTCACTCAGCTTTCCCCAAGAGCAAATTACCCAAGAATTCAACATAGCATCGTCACAATGGTGTCGTCAATGGCTCATCCCGTGCCGGCTCCCAAACGCCTGCTTCTGTTCGGCCATGGTGCCATGTCCTTGGATCTAGGATATTTCAACCGCATCCTCTCGATCCACAGAGACGGGACCCCCGGGCGATGGGCTTCGTACGCGGTTGAGGATATCGAAAGTTATTGGGGCTCCCTCTGCGAATCCGTACCGAAGCTGCAACACACATCAGGCGCGAGCGATGCGCAGACTTTGGCGGAATGGCTCCGGAATGGAGCTATCCCGCCATCGTCGACAGTCGCAAACCTGCCAAACTCCATTCTTGGGACACTGGTCATCATCGCACAACTCGTCGAGTATCTCGAGTACACCAAGTCTCCGTCTCAGTCTGGCCCCGTGCATGGACCGGACTTCCGAGTTCCTTCATCTGAGGAAACCGAAACCATCGGGTGCTGTCTCAGGGTTTTCAGTGCTCTCGTGGTGTCGTCGAGCAAATCTTGGGCCCAGTTCCATCACAACGCAGGGGCGGTGCTCCGTACAGTTTTCATACTGGGAGCACTATCTGACGCCCACGATGCCACCGACGCCGCCGGGGCATCCGCCTCGCTGATGGTGTTCTGGAGAGGGGGGCAGTCGGCTTCTGATCTGAAAAGAGCGTTGGAGAGGTATCCCGAGGTAAGCTCGGCCTTTCGACCGAGTCATCAACGCACTCGGCGAATTATGATGCTCATTCGCGTGTGATAGGCCTACGTATCCGTCTTATACGATGACAATCGAGCGACGGTGACAACGTCTTCCCGGTCCGCTTCTGCAATCAGAAGCCACCTTCAGAGCGCCGGCATCTCAGCTAATGAGACCGAGTTTCATGGTCGCTTCCACGCCGGCCAGCTTTACGAGTCCGACCTCCAAGCACTGTTCGCCTCCTGTAAGTGATTACCCCCCCTGGTTTGAGTCTCCAACTGGCTCCCTGCCTACCTTTCTTGCACTCGCATAGAATCATACCTCGACCAATGAGTTTATCTTTGGCGCAATGGAACTGATTCTCCGGCTGCACAGGCCGAAACCTACCCACGTTCCACATCACAGACGCGGCTGGCCTCGTCTTACCCACGCGCATCAATCGGGACACTGCAGTTTCCAGCGGGACTGATCTGCTCCTGGCGGCCTCGCGTGCATTCCTTGTGGAACAGTTCGACTGGATCAAGACTCTTCGTTCGGCTGTCTCCAGCTCACTGAAGGACAGGAGCTCGCGGTTGGTCGAGTTTGGACCAGAGCGTTGTGTCCCGCCAACTCTTCTGCGGAGGTTGAAAAGCCAGATAACCACCGTCGATCTCGAGAACGCTGCAAACAGTCTCGGCGGCCCTTCGAGCCCCAGCGCGGGACAAGACGTGGCCGAGAATGATATCGCCGTCATCGGCATGGCGTGCCACGTAGCTGGAGCCCAGGATCTGGAGCAATACTGGAAGATCATGCTGGAGGGGAAGTCGCAGCATAGGGAACTAGTTCCAAACGACCGTTTTGCCATGGAGACAAGCTATCGGCCTAGCGAAAAAGAAGGAACCAGGAAATGGTACGTTCTTGGGCACTCTCTCGATCCCACATCGTATATCGACCCTGTCTGAACTGATGGCTTGCAGGTACGGCAACTTCCTTGACGACCACGACTCATTCGACTACAAATTCTTCAAGAAGTCTCCCCGCGAAGCCCTCCACATGGATCCGCAGCAGAGGCTCATGCTGCAGGTTGCCTACCAGGCCGTGGCTCAGTCCGGATACTACCACAAACCTCAGCCAGACAGCCGCGTCGGTTGCTACATCGGTGTGGTCGGCAGCGACTACGAGAACAACATATCGCACACCTCCCCGAACGCGTTTTCGGCCATGGGCGCCTTGCGGTGCTACATTGCCGGCAAGGTGAGCCACTACTTCGGCTGGACCGGCCCCAGCATGACGCTGGACACGGCCTGCTCGGCATCCACCATCGCCATGAACCTCGCTTGCCAAGCGATAACGAGCGGCGACTGTTCTGCTGCGTTGGTGGGCGGTACCAATTTCTGCAGCGCACCTCTGTTCTTCCAGAACCTTGCGGCGGGATCCTTCCTGAGCACTACTGGGCAGTGCAGGCCGTTCGACAAAGACGCAGACGGCTATTGTCGCGGTGACGCCATCGGAGCTGTATATCTCAAGAAACTGAGCAAAGCCATTGCCGATGGGGACCAGGTACTGGGTGTTGTTTCGGCCACCGCCGTGAATCAGAACCAGAACAGCACCCCGATCTTTGTCCCCAACCCACTGTCGCTTACGGATGTGTTCCGGACGGTGATTTCCAAGTCGGGTCTGGGAGTCAAGGACATCTCCGTCGTTGAGGCGCACGGCACTGGTACGGCTGTCGGCGACCCGGCCGAGTACGACAGCATTCGTCAGGTCCTGGGGGGCCCTGCTCGCTCCGGGTTGAAACCTTTGCAGATAGGCTCCGTGAAGGGCTTGATTGGCCACGCAGAGGGGGCTTCCGGCGTCATCTCGTTGATCAAGGTCTTGCTGATGATGCAGGAAAGCCGCATTCCACCCCAGGCCAGCTTCAACGTGTTGAACCCGTCCGTCGAAGCGTTGCCGTCGGACAACATGGACATCACGATGGCCCCCATCCCCTGGGAGGACGAGTTCAAGGCCGCGCTCGTCAACAACTTTGGCGCTGCCGGTTCGAATGCTGCCATGGTCGTCAAGCAAGCTCCGAAGGGGCGCAGAGAAGCCGATCCTAGCCTGTCGTCGCCCGCGTCTTCTTTCAAATGCCCAATCTACATCACAGCCATCGATGACAAGGGCATCCGGGCCTACACCACGAGACTGCGCCAGTTCATCAAAGCAAAAGGAATCTACGGGCACAATCTTGGGATCGAAAATTTGTCATTCAATCTCAACCGGCAGTCGAACTGGTCGCTTGGCCGGGCTCTTGTACTTGCCGCCGAGTCTGTAGACGATTTGGACCAACGGCTATCCGCCTTTGAGACGTTCGAGACGCCCGCCGCGCGGCCTGTCATACTTTGTTTTGGAGGTCAGGTCGCCAGCTTTGTCGGCCTCGATCGTGAGGTTTTTGACAAGTCGAGCGTCTTGCGCCATTATCTGGACCAGTGCAACACCGTCTGCGAGTCGATTTGCGGAAGAGGGATTTATCCCGATATATTCCAACACGAGCCTTTCGACGACCCTTCGGTGCTTCAGCCGCTGCTGTTCTCTATGCAGTACGCGTCTGCCATGAGCTGGATCGACTGCGGCGTCGAACCAGCAGCGCTTGTCGGCCACTCTTTCGGGGAGCTCACTGCGCTGTGCGTCTCCGGAACCTTGAGCTTGGAGGACTCTGTCAAGTTGGTTTACGGCAGGTCAAGGATCATCAAAGACTCGTGGGGCCCTGAAAAGGGATCCATGATGGCGGTCCAAGCAGACATGGAAGACGTCGAAAGCGTATTGGCCGCTGCAAACGCGCGGTTGGGCGAGAACGGTAATGGCCATGCGGCCAGCATTGCCTGCTTCAACGGGCCGAGAAGTTTCACGCTCGCGGGACTACAGGCTGCCATTGACGCGGTGCAGCAAGTCATCTCTGGCCGGGACACTGTCCTCAAGCACAAGCGGCTGAGCGTCACAAACGCGTTCCATTCCTCTCTGGTTGAGAAACTGAAGACTGACTTGGAGGCCGTAGGCCAGAAGCTGACATTCGGTATGCCCCTTACCCTGTACCTTTTCCTCATTTGGCCAGCTATGGGCATCTTTACGCGCAGATGGAGGAACCAGGAGCGTGGAAGCCCCTGGGATATCCTGCAATCTTTTAAAGGTTTCCGTTTCAACTTGGGATTAAGCTTACTTTGCCAATCTGTAGGTCAACCTAGAATTCCACTCGAGCGAGCGACAAAGGACCACGAGAACGGCCATCTCTCAGCCACGTACGTGGCCAAGCACATGAGAGAACCGGTATATTTCAACCACGCCGTTCAGAGGCTCGCAAAACAGTTCCCACAGGCCATCTGGCTGGAAGCTGGTTCCAACTCCACCATCACAACAATGGCAGGCAGAGCGCTAGGAACGCCGGCCGGCTCAGTGTTCCAGCCCGTGAACATCACAGGCACCACGTTCGGACTGCAGCAGCTTGCCAATACCTCCATGGGTCTATGGAAGGCCGGTCTGCGCGTTCCCTTTTGGCCCCATTCGCGAAGACAGACGAACCAGTACGCTCCAGTAATGCTTCCTCCATACCAGTTCGAGAAGCATCGCCACTGGCTCGACTTCAAGCCGCCCGTCAAGCTTTCGGTCGGCGATGAATTCACATCCAGCAGCGGCACTGGTAGATCTGATCTCCGCTCCCCACCGGCAGGTGTCTTTACTCAACTGAACTACGAAGATTGTGGCGACAGACGATGGAGTTTCCGTATCAATACCCAGATGAAGGAATTCACAGACGTCCTGTCAGGACACAGCATGGGGAAAAGAGCTCCCACCTGCCCAGTCACATACTTGATTGACATGGCAATCCAAGCAATCACAAGTGTTCGATCGGACCTTTCTGCCAGCAAGGGGCTACACCCCCAGATCTTCAACGTCGTTAACCAGGCTCCCATATTCATGGATCCATCCAGACCCTTACACCTTGACTTCGAAAGTCTCGACACGAATTCCAAGACCTGGGACTTTAAGTTCTCCAACGGCCTTTCCGGCGCCGACAGATCACTCCATGTGAGCGGTCAGCTATTGTTCCAGCAGCCCGATGAACCTCGTGCCTGTTTCGAGTTCAACAGGCTCGAGCGTCTGGTCACGCACAAGCGATACCTCCAGGCCATGGAGAACAGTGATGATGCCGACGATTTCATCCAGGGACGGTTCATATACAATGTCATGTCTGGCATCATTGACTACGGCTCGAAATTTCGCGGTGTTCAGAAGCTGGTTGGACGGCCCAGCGAGTCGGCTGGTAAAGTGGTGAAGAGACGGTACGTCGTGGCCATACCCTGTTTCCCCTTTTCTTTCACAGAATCTCCCAGAGACTCTCTTTCTCATCTGGGGGACTTGGTTGTCCCAAGTCGGAGCACACAAAGCGCTATGATGACAATATTTCTGACTCTTGAAATTATGCAGTTCCGGTGAGACCTGGCTAGATTTTGCCCTGGGAGAAACCTTCACCCAGGTTGGCGGCATATGGGCAAACTGTATGGGTCGAGACCGAAACACTTCTGGCGATGCTGTTTACATCATCGCTGCCATGGAACAATGGGTGAAGTCGCCAGAGCTGCTTCGCAGAATCAGCAGAGGCGATTTCGTTGGCCACGACTCGGAAAGGGAATGGCATGTGTTGGCACAACATAAGCGTACGAACCCGGGCGATTCGTTCCTCACAGACATTTTTGTCTTCGATTCAAATTCTGGATCGCTTGAAGAAGTCATACTTGGTGTTCGGTACACCCCAGTCTCGATGTAAGCACACTGTTTCCACGTCTGATCCCCGGTCGGGCTTGATTAGACCGAGTCATATGTCACTCGAGCCTCTCCCGGATACAGCATCGCCCGGGTATATGGAGTCTAGGCTAACATAACAATGAAAAGAACACAAGGACACGTTCGCCTTGAAACGCCAATGGACCCTGTCGACCTACTTCATCGAAGCTCCCACGCAACCGGCAATGTCTTGGCTGAGCCAGAAGACGATTCCCAAAATCAGCTGGCATTGAAGCCAGCAGCAGTGAGCGTGCGGAATACCGGCACAGACGTCGATCTCTGGATCAAACTCCAGCGAGTCCTGTCTGATATTTCCGGACTTGACCTTGAAGAGATTGGCGCAACTGATTCCCTTGCCGACCTCGGAATCGACTCTCTGATGGGCATGGAGATGGCTCACGACATCGAAAAGGCCTTTCACTGCACCCTGGACCAAGCTGAGATCGTGGCAATTGTCGACGTACCTGGCGTTATGACATATCTGAAGTCGATACTCGGCCTTGAACAGGGACAAGACCTCATCGGCTCTGATGATGTGGTCGGCTCGGACCACCCTTCATCTGACAGCGAGATACGGTCTTCTACTCCAGCCTCGTCAGTCGACCACATCGAGTTCCCGATAACCTACGACGATTCTGCTGGGGCCCTCGGCATCCCCCCGGCTAGCATTGTTGAGGTTTTCTGCGAAGCAGCAACATCCACCGACCATCTCCTCAAAAGCCATGGATGCGCGCACTATCTCGATGGCGTCAGCCTGATCCAGACCCGACTCTGCTTGAAACTTATAGACAGGGCGTTTAAGAAGCTGGGCTGTGATCTTGAGACGGCTCAACCTGGTGATTATCTCCAGCCTGTGTCTTTTGATCCCAAGCATCGCCGCTTCCACCAACATCTGTACAAAATCTTGGAGGACACGCGCATTATCAACATCAATGGCGATGTCATCACCCGTACCGGCATCCCGCTTCCTGCGCAGAGTGCTGAGAGTATCTTGGAGGATCTCATGCAGTACCATGGGCAGCATGGTTCTTTACATCAGTTGACATACAATCTCGGCTCCAAGATGGCCGAGGTCCTGTCTGGCGAAGCCAGCGGCCCACAGTTGCTCTTTGGCGATGCAAGGAATCGTGAGCTGGCGGCCGACTTCTATGGAGAGTACCCCTTCAACAAGGTGTATTTTGAGCTGATGGCCAACTTTCTCACCAATCTGGCAGAGAGGCTGAAAGCATCATCCCACAATCAAACCACTCTCAGGATCCTCGAGATGGGAGCTGGGACGGGCGGAGCGACAAAGATGCTCGTCCCCACGCTCGTCAAGCTTGGCATACCGTTCGAGTACACCTTTACCGACCTCTCGCCGTCGCTTGTGGCTCAAGCCAGAAAGAAGTTCAAGAGCTATCCCTCCATGAAGTTCTTGGTGCACGACATCGAAAAGCCTCCGTCGGACCCTCGCCTCTACGGCTCGCAGCACATCGTCATCGCCAGCAATGCTGTGCACGCCACCCACTCACTGAACGAGTCGTTGCAAAACTCTCGGAAGTTTCTGCGCCCGGACGGATTCCTCATGCTGATCGAGATGATGGAGACGCTTCACTGCATCGACCTCGTCTGGGGCACCTTGGAAGACTGGTGGCTGTTCGATGACGACCGGACCCACGCCATCGTTGACCAGACGCGATGGGAGAGGGAACTCCTGAGCGCCGGCTACAAGCACGTCGACTGGACCGATGGCAAATTGCCAGAAAGCAGATCAGAGAGGATCTTGATTGCCCTAGCAGGTGATGGCGCAGAGCATCTGCAGCGCCCTGCTGCTGCCCCCAAGAGCCACGGAGGAGAGCATGGACTCTATCTCTCGGAGGAAGCGGCGAAAGCTCGCGTGGTAGCCTCGGACGAGTATCTGCGCACCACAACGAGCAACTTCCTCATTCCTGAGAGCTCGGGAACTCCTGCTGTTCTGTCTGCCTCTAGATGCGTCCTCGTCACGGGGGCTACCGGCAGTCTCGGTTGCCACATCGTGGAGTACCTTGCCGGCCTGTCCTCTGTTGACAGGATATGGTGTCTCAATCGTCCTTCGGTACGCAAAGGCGGTTCTCGCGACCCCCTAGAGCGGCAGATTCAGAGTATGGAGTCGAAGGGCATCCGTCTGGACGCGACAATGATGGCCAAGTTGCAAGCCATCGAGACGGACACCTCCAAACCCCAGCTCGGCTTGGAGGCTGACCAGTACAATCGGCTAGTCGATGAAATCACCCACATTGTGCACAACGCCTATCCTTCCAATGGCCTTCGGACCTTGACGCAGAACGAGAACCAGTTCGCCATATTGCGGAACCTCATCGACTTCTCGGCCAAGGTCGTGTCCCGCCGCAGAAGCTATGCGGACGGCTCCTCTCCTGACCAGTTCAAGTTCACCTTCCAATTCGTCTCATCCATGGCCGCCGTGGGAGTCTACCCAGCAGTGTATGGCAATGGGCAGACGGCGGTGCCCGAGGAGTTCTGGGACGTCGACAGCGCTCTTGCGAACGGCTATGGGGGATCCAAGTCGGTGTGCGAACGCATCTTGCGTGACACGCTCGGCAAATACCCAGACCACTTCCGCACCATGACCGTTCGCCTCGGACAGCTTTCCGGATCACGGGTTTCCGGATACTGGAACCACATGGAAGTTCTAGGTTTCCTATTCAAGTCGTCGCAGACGCTGGCCTCCTTCCCCATCTTGGATGGTGTTTTCACCGTACGTATACTTCCCGTCATTTTATATTTCCCTGCCTGGGTGGTTTCGGCAGCATCGCCAGCTGTTTGGCAGTCGATCCCTCTTGAATAGCCCATCATATTCTGAGATCAAAGCAACAGATACTGACTTTTGTTCATCGTAGTGGTTATCACTCGAAGACACGGCCGGCTCGCTCTCAGATCTGCTCTTGCGTAACGAGTCTGACTGTTATCCCATCTACCATTTGGACAACCCGGTGCACAAGAAGTGGAATGACATAACTCCGCTCTTGGCCGAGGCGCTGGGCATTCCAGAGAATGGGATCGTCCCTCTTGATGAGTGGATCAGACGCGTGAGAGGGTATCCCGGTGAGGATCCGTGGGACAACCCGGCTGCAAAAGCGTTGGACTTTTTTGAACACAAGTTTCTGCACATGTCATGCGGAGGCGTCACTCTGGCAACCGACAAGACCAGGGAACACTCCAAGACTTTGAGGGAACTCCAGCCCATATCCGACGAGGTTCTCAAGAGGTATATCCAGGCATGGAAGGCTAGTGGGTTCCTACGCTAGGCCGGAGAATTACTACATCGATCAGATGGAATACTATTCTGTCGTATACTGATGGACCTACGTTTTGTTAATGCGGGGTGAAACTAGTTGGAGCTTGTTTGCTACTATGGACCTAGGCGATATAAATCCAACACATGATTACTTTTTTTCTTCCATATTTCTAGACCCAAGAGCCATCGTTCATAGCTCATAGCTCAGCATTATCAAATTATAGGCATTATGCCTAGTTGCGAGCAGCGGTGGTGGGAATGTCGGCCGCATTACCCGTATGGATTTCCCTACCCAAATGTGTAAAATCCGATGTCACGCGTCATATTTGGTCCCCCAGGCCACGTATTGTCAGGGACGAATGAAAGGATAGTTACGCACACATACACAGATACGAACGCATCAATACTACGAGGACTTTCGCCGTATTACGTACTACAATGGTTGAAAGCCAGCGAACACGAAGTTTACTGTGTGTGGAGGCGTCTTACAGGGTAGTCCGTCATCGGCTGCTTTTATGTCAAACCCATATTTTTAAGGGGCGAGACCATCCTTTCGCGTCCCTCAGAACAAAAGCCTCAGTTTCTGTAAGGCTTCAGTAAATCCGCAACGCCATGTTGGGGCACAGTCTCTTTGAATCACTCACCTGTAAGCCGCTCAAGCTGTCGTCCGACTGGCCACCGTCGTGCGGCGAAAGCAGCAAGCCAGCGAGCTGTTTCTTTGTCTTTTGCACTTCCATCACTTGCTAGAGGGTGTCAGCATTGCCACAGCTAAACAGTAGCCTCTGGCGTACCTCTTCACACGAGTCCTGTATATCCAGGCGCACTATTGTGATCTCGCGGGTCTGTCCGATGCGGTGCACCCGCGCAAGTGCCTGCTCCTCGTTCTATGAAAAAATACTTGCCCGGCACAGTCCCCAAAGAGGATGGCATTTCGATGTCAATATCCGAGAGCGCGTTACGAAATGCAACAATCTGTATGTGTTGGTATCACAGGGATCGCGATCAAGATAGCCGCAATAGTATTAATTGACTATTGGTAGCTGGGGGAAGATAATGATGATCATAGAAAAGAGAAGAGGTTGCTGCTGTGGATATTTGTGGTGGTGTAAGTGAGCCGCCAAGGTGAGTCACGTGATAGTAAATCACGTGACTATAGATCGGCTTTACTATTAAACAGTTAAATATCCTAACACTAGTAACTTTCTTAAGTAAAGGAAAATCGCTACAAATAGCCTAGATACTGCCTAGCAGCTAAAAAGCTTAAAAACGTAATAAAAATTAAAAGACTAAATAAAAGTATTTAATACTTTTTGTTTATATAATCTGTTACGTAGCTTAAAAAACCTATTACTTTATACTAATCTAAACTATTCTGTTTCTAACTAGTTATTTTAGTGCCTTATTAAGTAATAATTTAGTAAATCTATTAGTAGGATTATTATTACCTTATATTTAGTATACCTTATAGACCTTACGTTACTTATATAACTACTAAAGGGCTATAATATTAATTATAAGCCTTTTTTTTTTATAGTTCTAAGCTTAATAATACACTTATAAAGTAAGTATAAATCTATATATAAGATTATTAGTACCTATAGTATCTTAAAGTAGTTAGTAACTATAGTAATAGTTATACTTAGTGTATAAGTAACGTTAGCGCTAGTAACTATACTATAAATCTTAAAGGCTAGTATCTTTAAGTAACTTATTTACACTTTATTAAGCTAAAGTAAATAATATTACTAGTTATAGTAAATTTATTACTTATAGTAGTATTTATAGTTACCTTATTAGTAAGAATAATAATAAATCCTAGCTATAAAGTAAAGTCCTTATTATTTATAAATAATCTATTTATAAAAATAAAAAGCTTTATAGATTTAAGGTTAAGTAGGTAAAAAAATAGACTATAGTTAAGGTTATTTATTTACTATATAATATAATAGTTAAGTGCCTTAATCTTATTTATGTTAGGTAATTAGTATTATATTATAATAAAGTAGTTAAAGTACGCTTTAGGCTAGTAGACTAATATAATATACACACTATAGGCTTATTACTTAACATACTACTTAATTACTTATAGAGATTTTTTATTAATAGGTTAAAGTTTTTTACCTTAGCCTTTTTATTAGAGAAAGAGCTTCTTATTAGTAGTTAGAGATACTACACTACTATTAAAGGTAAGTAGGTTATTAATAGTAAGGATTTACTTCCCCTTAGTAGTAAATATAGCCTTAGTAAGCTTATTTACTTAAGGTAATTAATATAAGGTATACTACTTTTAAGGCTATTAAAGCCCTCCTTTTTATTATAAAGAAGCTTAAGGACGTTTATAATATAGATAATAACGCTTATAATTATAAAACGTTTACTATAAGGATAAAAAGAAGAAAAAAATACTAAAAAAAAAGTAAGAAACTTCTTAAAATAAAAAAAGGAAATTAGTAAGAAAGTAGTAAAGACTTAGTAATAAGAGTTTAAATAGGAGAAGGAAAAGAAAAAGTAAAAAATATAAAGAAAAAAAATAATAAATACTTAGTAAAACTATAATAAAAAGGAAAAGTAATAAAAGAAAAGTTCTTATATAAGGGGGACCTAAGAGGTATTTATACTTAAGGAGAAAAAAAGCACTTATATAACTATATAATAAATAGTTACTAAAGTAAAAAAGAAAAAAAATAATAAAGTAAGGTAAATAAAAGTAAGGTATATATAAGGAAATAATTATAATAATAATAAAGCTATAATATAAAAAAAGAATTTTTTATACTTAAAGGATAAGTCTAGGAAAAACTAGTAAATAGTAGTAATAATATAAAAAAGACTTTAGTAAGAGAGAATAAGATAATAAAAGTAACTACTTAATAAAATAATACTAAGTATAAGGGTATTTATAATACTAAAGAGAGGCCCTAACTAGCTAGGTTAATAATTAGTTAGTAATAAGTTACTAAAGTAGGACTACTAAAGAACATAAGGTATATAGCTATAATAGAACGTTATAAATAATAAAGCCTTAGAAGGCCTTAGGGACTAAGGCCTTAGGAAGGGGGATAATTATAAGGGTGTTAAGATAAGGGTTACGTAGAAACTATAGTAGGACCTTAGTAATACGTTAGTAACTATTTGCCTATTTAGTCTAGGCTAGAGGGGGAAAATCTTAGACTCTCTAGCAAAAAGTCTAGTTAATAGAATAGACCTACCTTCTATACCTTTCCTAGTTAAGGCACTTAGCTACGTACCTTTATATTATAGCTATTAAGGTAAAAGACAGTATCTTATATTTTTAATCTATAGCAAAAAAGTAGATATAAGGCTTTTTATACTTATACTAAGGAGTAGCTAGGCTTTTACTATTATAGCTAGGCTAAATATAACTAGTAACCTACTTTATTACTAAGATATAATTATAGGCTTAAATAAGGGTGTATACTACTACTAGTAAACTTCTACTTTATTATATAGTTAGTAGTAAGATATATTATATTAAAGTAACGTAGTTATAATAAATCCTAATAGCTATATATTAACCTTACTACTTTTATTAGAATATATTAGCTAAAGGTACTAACGTCCTTATAAGTAAACCCTAACTTCTAGGGTTCTTATATAGAACTAGTAATAAGTCTATATTAACCTTACTATAGATAGAAAAGTAGAATACTTAACCTTATCTACTTACTAACCTAGACCTTTACGCTAGCTACGCTATTTAATAAGCGTAGACTATTAGGGTAGGTAATACTATATAGGTTGTATAATGTCTTTTATATATTATATTTCTAGAATCTGCTATAACAGTGTATAGCCTAGTAGGGACCTATAGACACTAACTTTAAAGTTAGGCTAGCTAATATTAGGCGTAGACACTAGCTCTAAGGTTAGAGTATTTTTTTAGTCTATTACCTAAGTTATTAGTCTCTAGTCTATTACACTAGTACTATTTTATTCTAATAATAATAACTATTAAGAACTAACTAGAACTTATCCTAGTTAACTAGTAATAAATGTAATTAGTACTTCTAAGAACTACTTATTAGTAAGTATAGAAGTGATCCTGTTTTTTACCCTTATAGATATAAACTTTATATAGGGAAATAATTATTCTAACAATTATACTTTATATACCTACCTAAAACTTATAGGTAATAGCTTAGTATTAGAAGTAAGAATATCTCTAAGTATTCTTATACTTCTTTATCTTATATTTCCTCTATTATAGAGGTTATATATATATAAGATATATATATTTATAATCTACTTACTTAGTAGATTAATATATATATTGATTACGTAAGCATGTCTGATTACGTAATCAACCGAAGATTAGAGAAGGTACTAGAATGTCTAAGATCTCTCCAGATCCTACCTTCTACCTCTGTTGTTCCTATAAGGTTATTGTTTTAAGTTAGGGTTATTTACTTAAGGTTATTATGTTACGTAACTAAGGGTTGATTTATAAGCAGCTTACGTAAGTATGGAATATTCTAGTAAGCTGTATAGGTCTATATAAGGGCTAGAATTCTTCCTGTTTCTAGTTTCCTTTCCTTCTCTCTCTAAGCAAGCAAATAGTTAATAATCTAACTACTATACTCTCTTTTAACTATATATCCTTATATCCTCTATTTATCTACCCTAGGTATAAGCATTTATATCTCCCTTTTATCCTATATTCTTGCTTCTATAGGATATATCTTTATATAAGAGATATACTCTCTTATATTCTCCTAAGCTAGAATTCTCTATCTAAGAGACTAGCTTACCTGTTGTGCTAACAGGTTATAAGCCTAGGTAATATACCTAGGGTTTTAATATTACTATAAGAGTTATATATACTCTTTAGTAGCCTATTTATCTATAAAAAGTAGATCCCTTATACTATCTTTTCTTTATAAGAATATTAAGGCAGAAAGAGTAAGCCCTTAGTATCTCTTATAACTAAAAGAGGTATTAAATATCTACTAAGAGGTTATATAAGTCTTAATAGTAGCTATAAATCCTCTA